TCATACTTTTCAAATAGAGTGGTGGGGCGGTCGGGTAGCCTAGTGGTTAAAGCGTTAGCTCGTCACGCTTATAACAGTATTCCAGTTATACCATGGCGTGTCAGCTTAATGTTGGAGGAAAGCCCGAAACTATACTAAAAGAATCTCACATGTCTACAATTAAAGCAGCACCGCATGAAGTTGTCTGCGAACCTAGTATAAGAGTCTAGCTCAGGATATAATGACAGAGCACCTAATGAAGTTATCTGTCCATATTGGTTTCATCAAAATAATAAACAGATGATTTAATCATTTTTATTTTCAGTCCCTTTAGTTCTTTCTATACTTGACAGTGTAAGTTGTGGGGACAGTTATTGTTTATTAATTTGTTAGTATGTTGCATCTTGCGAAGTAAATAGGGAGGGTGACTGCTGTTTTGGCACTAGGAACCCATAACATTTGTATTTTAAGATAATGATTTTAGACATCAAAACCGTTTAATGCATTCTATTGCCTAAAGAGAATATAAAAGGTCAACCATTTTGTTCTAAATTCCTCGCATGGGAGGCCCTTTTCGCTCAACATTGCTCACATAATGAATATTCATAGCATTCATGTCTATTAAGGATCACTAAAGCATCCATCTCCCTAAACAGACAAAACCTGCTCCATCTTAAAAAAAGTAAAGTTGTGTCCTTAAGGAGTCTTTTGTCCATGAAAAAAAAGTTTCATATCTGACAAGAAAGTTATATGAGCTGTTAAAAGGCAAGGGATTTGATTGTTGTTCATTTATATTCACCTTTTTGTGGAACTGGAACCTACGTAATTAGCAGGGAGAAGGGAAGCCGGAGACAGTTCCCATAACTGGAGGCCTTTATGTGCCACAGTCTTCAGTAGCATAGACTGTAATCAGCATTTGGACACAATCCGTGATGATGTGAATGTTTTGATTTCAGATAACTGTCTTTATATCATTACCTGGCATTAGGTCTGCACAGTTCTAATGACATTCTAAATGAACATGATGATTTGCATGCATGTTCCAATCAAAACAGAGTGACACCAACAGGCAGTGATTCCGATTGGTTCCCAATATGCTATTGGCAGCAGCTAAACTAAAAGTTAAAGATTCTGTCTGATATGAAAAAAGACACCAACATGGCAATAGTGAATGTCAGCCTGCCGTCTCCTTTAACGATGATGACACAACATTGTAACCTCATTATGAAGCATAATTATTAGGTACATTGAAAATTAAATGCAATTCCCAAATGTGCAAATTGGTATCTTTGGTGACTTCCAAATTGAAATGCACTGGTTAACCTAGAAAGTAAATTGTGAAACCAGTAAAAGACCACACACGATCAATGAATAATCAATAAAAAATATTTTTTACGGTTTCAGGTTTTCAATAAAAGAATCAATATTAATAGGTCCAATAAGTGGTGGTGGCAGCAGCAGCAATAACTTACAGGCCCCAGAATTAATGACGTTCACTCATGAATTTTCAGAATAGTATCACTGTTGAATATCTTGGGAGTGGCCTGTCTCCATTCTTGAATCTAGTGTTGGAAGCTGGCAAGAATTCGGTGTTTCCAAATATTTATCAAAACTGCACTTGGCAAGTAGATTAGAAACTAGTCAGGTCGGAAAATCACCCTCATTCTAGTATACCGGTAGTTATCATCATCTGGTCGGTCCATCAGTATTTCGTTTCTGGAGCATAACTTAAAGACCATGAAAGATTTTTCACCAATTTGGTAGATGTATTAACAGGGAGTTCAAGATGCCTTTTGCTAATTTTGGGGCCCGGGGGGATTTGTCATCTTCTGATGACTCTTGTATATTTACAGAGTGCTGCAATATTGCAGTCTGTGGCGTTAATTTTTTAAAACTTTTTCACTGTATTGTGAGTCAGATCTGTACATTATGGTAATGGGGATATCGGACACTGTCCAGGGAAGCTGAACACATCATAATCTGCTCCTAAGGTTTCACCAAGTGGTAGGGGCGGTCGGGTAGCCTAGTGGTTAAAGCGTTCGCTCGTCACGCCAAACACCCGGGTTCGATTCCCGACATGGGTACAATGTGTGAATCCCATTTGTGGTGTCCCCCACCGTGATATTGCTGGAATATTGCTAAAAGCGGCATAAAACCATACTCACTCACTCACTCACTCACTCACTCACTCACTCACTCACTCACTCACTCACCAAGTGGTAAACATCTGGAAGCTGTGTCTTAAAACATCCTCCCAAAACAAGCTGACATGTCATTATGTAGCTAAAACTCATGTTAACTCACTCACTCAACTACTACAAATTCCTGCAAGGAGATTGAACACTCACAAATTATTGGAGCTGTTTCTTGAGAGACTGTGACTCATGACATATATGTTTAACCCCTGATAGTCAGTCGTGATGCTGTCTATTCTGTTATGAAATTGCTAGACTGGTAATGGACACCTTTCACTCAGCATGTAACAGCATTTGGGTAGCCTCTTTCTGAGATTAGTGTACTTTTCATTACTTATTTCACTATCCAAACTAGGGCGAGGACGATACTACACCTGTGCGATACGAATCACGATACCTTGTTCACGATCCGATGTGTATCACGATACTTGTAAGTGCTCTTATCTGTGGTTTGTAAGTCATCTTTTTCATAGACAGGATATTCAAATACCTAGCACACAGACGATTTACAGTGTCAAGTATGACTCAACGGATGAAAATATTCACTTTTTCACTACTAATTTTCATTACTAATTTTCACTACTAATTAGTGTTTGGTGTAACAGCCATCACAGTAAACGTTTAAGGTATGAATCGATATTTTGTACTTTGTCTACGACTAAGATCGATACTTGTATCAGGAAGTAAAATATCGTGATCCACCAATGCATCGGTGTTTCGTCCCACAACTAATCCAAGCAATATTGGGCTTTGTCAGGTGTGTTAAAGAAACAAGCATCCCATTGTCGTGAGTTCAGTATTACAGTGTTAATCATCCAAATATGACTCAGTTTTGCTAAAGTAATCTCATTTTGATTGCATTTCATTTACTCATGTTTTTATTATGGATCCCACGGAATTAAATTTAGTGTTGATTTCATCATGACTTAGTAATTCAGCATTGTATCCATATCAGGGAATCGAATCATGTAGTTGGTAGTTGATAAAAAAGTTATTTCTTGATAGTATTTGTCTGGAAACAGAAGCTGCCAAGTGAAATGTCAATATTTGAATTGTGTCTGCAACAAAGACAATGCATCTGAAACACTGTCTTCTGGACGCCTTCTGACACACACCCCTCCCACACCATGTGCAATAATCCATGTTCAGGGCCCCCAGCTTCTTCGGAGGCATCAATGAATGCTATTCTTTATCTCATTTCTCAGCCATGGTGTTGTATGACCCTTGCAATAGTTTGAGCCAAAAAAATTACAAATTTTCTCACTGATGAAATAAGTGTGTGATAAAGGTAGCTCGTAATATGAATAGAACCGCCTCGGTTATCGATTTGCAATTGTTGTAGCTGATTAAAGTGGTGGCCACAGTGAGAGGATGAATCACAGAGTTTTAGCTGAGAGCTCTGAATGGGTCTGTCAGTTGATTCTTAGGCATGAATAAAAAATTATTTTGTCATGGAAATTTTCAGTGTAATTTGCCAAAATAAAGCAATATCTGATGTGATGTGAAAAAGATTCTATATAATGGTAATGTGCAGATATTGAAGCTGATATCTACATGCCACTTAACACACTAATGGAAGAGCTCACTGCCTCCCAAACTGGCTTTTGTCAATTTGTTATTTCTTCGTGAAATAAGGTTTGATTGGCTGCAAGAGAGATCAGCACCATTATACTTGTGATGAGAATTGCTTGGGATTTTGCCATCGATCATTGCCTGAAATTTGTTTCTTCCTACCAATCAATCATCAATTGTTATATGTTGCTGATATTTTGTGTATTTTACAGAAATTACTTGTCAAAGAAACTGCATTGAGCATGATGGAAATATTTTACTTTGTATCACTTCTTATGAAAATGTGTGAATGTTAGTGTATTAACAATGAGTGTGTATATCTGTATGTGTGTAATAAATGAGCGACCATTGAAAGCAATCCTTGATATATCGAGTAATAAAGGTTTTACCGGATGAAAATATTGCCTCCTTTTCATGACCAAATTGAGAATGGATACAAAATAGTTTGCATTGCGAGTCCCAGGGGAACACGAAAGCTTGAATCATTAAAACAAATTAAAACTATAGATCGCATGTTATGTAGAACCAACATTTCTATTGTCATCACTGCTCTATTTTCTTTCAAACACTGAAAACCCCATTTTTAATAAAGTACACAAAATCTATGGATAACACCTTCTGTATTTAGTGTAAAGGCAACGTCTCTGTATAGATCTTTATACCATTGTCAAGCAAGGCTTCCGTCAGCTTCTAAGTAATGCCTATCAAACAATTCATCCATTTATAATAGGCTATTATAAGACTTGAAGTGTGTGCAATGATACATGCGCATGGTATCCCAGTAGCCTAGCACTATAAAGTAAATAAACAGTATTAGTCCAGACTAGTACAAGTAGCCAAGCACACACACACATGCATACGCATCACTTTATAAGTGCAATAATCTTAAATCTCATTTCTCCTCACTTAAAAAAGATAGGGTTTATCCCTGCTGTACTAATTCCTTCTATAATCAATACTTGCAGATTGTCATTTGAGTAGCTCTACACAAAGCCCTTATTTGCCCTTCCTATCACGCGCAATGGCAGATGAGGAAAGTCTTGTCATCAAAGCTACAAGAGTAGTCTCCCTTGTATCACAGTTATGGTAGTCGTGAATGGTATTTATGTGAAGTAGTCACAAAACATTAAACTTGTCTTTTTATTTTGTCACAACTTCAGTATATTGTATGCGGCACTTTAGCCACTCTAGTTTCTTAAGACTGGAATTGCGATATTGATTTTGTTTAATGCTGTGCTTTTCTTCTCTTTTCAGACTTTTGCCTTTGACCATTGTTTTTGGTCCATGCGTCCGAATGATCCAAAATTTGCAGGTAACAATAGTGGTTGCATTCTGGAATTATGCTAAACATATTGTAGAGGAGCACACTCTTCATGATTTTGATTTTGATTAATATTTCTCCAAGTTAAAATAACCGGTTTATTCTGTGTTCAACAGATTGAGTTAATGGAATTTTATTTTTATCATCATATCGTATATTTGTGTTTACCCCACACAGGAGTCATGCTAAAAGAAGTTAAAAACTAACCATACCAAAGATTGACACCAGAGTTTACCCCGACAAATTTAATTTCAGACTAGTTTGGGGAGGTGGGGTAACATAGTGGTGAAAGCATTCGCTCGTCACACCAAAGACCCGGGTTTGATTCCCCACATGGGTACTATGTGTGAAGCCCATTTCTGGTGTCCCCGCTGTGATATTGCTGGAATATTGTTAAAAGCGGCGTAAAACAACATTCAGACTCAGACGTGTTTCTTGTGGAACACCAAGATATGGAACCAGCAAGTAGTCCCTCGAGGTGTTTACGAGGCTCACGAGTCAGATTCCTGGCACTATGTACCCCTTTATTCCACCAAAACTGATATCTGACCATGGCAGCTGTGGGCGCCGTCCTGCTCTAGACACCCAAGCTTGTAATTGCTTTAATTTGGTCCACTGTATGAAATATAAGTTTTCACTTATGGCTTTTTTTCTAGACCAAGAGTCGGTGTTCAACTGTCTGGGCAACGACATCTTGGAGTGTGCGTATGAGGGATACAATGGCTGTATATTTGCTTATGGACAAACAGGTAAGAGGACAGTCGTAACAACATGTCATCTGAGCTGGTCCCACATGTAATTGTAAGGATGGAGAAGTTATAACTAGCCCCTTGCCTAGACCCAACAAATATATATATATTATATTATGGAGAGATTTCCGCCAAACCTAAGCCAATCGGTTGTCTCAGTTTGTTGGAATCTCATAACATTATTGCAGCTGACAAAGTTTTAATTGTTATACTTACTTCTCTTTATTAAGAAATAAACGATGAGTGGGAGTTGTTTATCATTCAATAAAACACTGCAGGAAGAATAAACCACTCGGAGTGGTATATTCTTCCTGCAGTGTTTTATTGTACCTGAAAAAAGCGGTATTGACCTCATATAAAGTCTATAAATTGTATATTGTCTACAGGTTCCTTGCTGCAGAAATGCTGGTGTGTCATAAAGTAATATTTATCCAGCTGCAGGTTACACGCTGGGTTCAGGGGAAGAGCAAGGTTCCACAAAATGATTGTAGCACTATGACTATCGTAAGCCTGTGTTAAAGTATTTGAGATGCAACAGCTGTAGCACTAGGATCAGTTCGTTAAATGGGGCCCAGGTGTATGTTTCACAGAGAGATCATAGCCCTACGATTGCCGTAACTCCTATAGTTCAACATAAACTTGTAACTACTGCTTGGTGAAATGAGCCCCATCCATGGCCCTGTTCCACAAAGCGATCTTGGCGCTATGATGATGGTAAGTCTCTGTTAAAGAATGTGAGTTATGATCACCTTAGCGCTAATAGACCGCCTCTGTGGCCTCGTGGTAGAGCTTCCGCCCAGAGAGACGAAGGTCCGGGGTTCGATCCCTGGACGCGTCATACCAAAAGACTTTAAAAGATGGTACTTGTTGTTGCCCTGTCTGGCGCTCGACTAAGGGGCTAAAACTAGGACTGGTCGGCTCGGAGTCAGTATACTGTGTCTGAGTAGGGTATTCATGTTAAACTGCGGCATGGTATCTCAGTGTGCTAGCACTATAAATCGGCATCAGTCCGGACTAGTACAAGCAGCCACACAAACACATACACGTACATGCATGTCACTATATAAGTGCAATAATCTTGGATGTGACATTAAACCCCATTTCGCCTCACTCACCTCACCTTAGCGCTAATACTGCTTTATCTTTAGTTCAACACCTTTGTTGTAAGATAAGAGTATATGAAGATGGGATCGGTAGTGATGGTTGTCTTAATAAATACAGTTGTGTCAGTGGCCAGCTATCAGCTGGGCAGCACTCTGTACCAACTTTCCCCTGCACTCCGTTGGTCAAGTAGAACTGCATCTCCACAAATCACTGATACTGCGCCGTCCCGATGATGATGGTTGATGATGTTGTTCCAGGGTCGGGGAAGTCGTACACGATGATGGGAACAAAAGAACAGAAAGGAATCATCCCCCGCCTGTGTGATGCTCTGTTTGACCACATCGCCAAGGTCTCACAGCTGAACCTGTCTTTCAAGGTGGAGGTGTCCTACATGGAAATCTACAATGAGAAAGTCCACGACTTGCTAGATCTGACAGGGTTGGTCACATCATCATGTTCTTTGCCATGACCATCAGTTTGATATGCAGGAGTATTTATCTTCCTCGCTTCAGATGGAAACATCTGGAACCATTTCCATCCTCTTTACAAGCTGTTGCGTTTGCTCTTTTAAAACATGAAGGCCTTGCACTGTCCACGTGCATATTCCTTAAGTTCACATTTTGATAAACAAAGAAAAAATAGTGATCTAATGTCAAACCTAGAGCATTGCAGTAAAGTTTAGATTGCAATTAAATCTTTTTTTTCAAATCAATAGGAACTAAATTAAAGAGGAAAGAAAAACTCACATGAAAAGACGGATATCTATCGCTGATGGCCATAGTAAATCAATAACAAGATTTTTGTTCCTGACAGCTCACTGTTTTTTGTCAGCCATGCATGATCAATGGCCTTCAGTCAGTTGACACTCGCTCTGTAGCCTGCTGATCCTGCGATGGTTTGGTCAGTTTCAGGAACAATATGATGAAGAAAGCATGCCTTGGTTCTCACACAGGGGAGATATTTTCATAGCCTAAAGGATGACATGATGATGAATTGTTACAATGTTCATGCATTGAGCTTTCAGATGAAAGAGGGATCTTTTTTCTTCTTTTATTCATCTTTCCTGAAATTAGAAAATGATTTCTGTTAGAGGCTGTTATGTGGTGTATGTCACTAAACTGGGGAGGAGGGGAGGAAAAGTAGTCAAGTATAATATTAATTATATGCAACTAAGGCAAAACTTTTGTCAACCTCCATGTACTTCCATTGTACATGTATGACAACCCATGTGCCCTGATTCAGATAACTTAACCCTTGCGTCCTGATTGCGATAATTTAACCCTTGTGTCCTGATTCAGATAACTTAACCCATGTGTCCTGATTAAGATAACTTAACCCATGTGCCCTGATTAAGATAACTTAACCCATGTGTCCTGATTCAGATAACTTAATCCAGGTGTCCTGATTCAGATAACTTAACCCATGTGTCCTGATTCAGATAACTTAACCCATGTGTCCTGATTCAGATAACTTAACCCATGTGTCCTGATTTAGATAACTTAACCCATGTGTCCTGATTAAGATAACTTAACCCATGTGCCCTGATTAAGATAACTTAACCCATGTGCCCTGATTAAGATAACTTAACCCATGTGTCCTGATTTAGATAACTTAACCCATGTGTCCTGATTTAGATAACTTAACTCATGTGTCCTGATTAAGATAACTTAACCCATGTGCCCTGATTAAGATAACTTAACCCTTGTGTTCTGATTCAGATAACTTAACCCATGTGTCCTGATTAAGATAATTTTAACCCTTGTGTCCTGATTGCGATAATTTAACCCATGTGTCCTGATTAAGATAACTTAACCTATGTGTCCTGATTAAGATAACATAACCCATGTGTCCTGATTAAGATAACTTAACCCTTGCGTCCTGATTGCGATAATTTAACCCTTGTGTCCTGATTGCGATAATTTAACCCATGTGTCCTGATTTAGATAACTTAACCCATGTGTCCTGATTAAGATAACTTAACCCATGTGCCCTGATTAAGATAACTTAAACCATGTGTCCTGATTAAGATAACTTAATCCAGGTGTCCTGATTCAGATAACTTAACCCTTGTGTCCTGATTAAGATAACTTAACCCATGTGTCCTGATTTAGATAACTTAACCATGTGTCCTGATTAAGATAACTTAACCCTTGTGTCCTGATTAAGATAACTTAACCCATGTGTCCTGATTTAGATAACTTACACCCATGTGTCCTGATTAAGATAACTTAACCCTTGCGTCCTGATTAAGATAACTTAACCCATGTGCCCTGATTAAGATTACTTAACCCATGTGTCCTGATTTAGATATCTTAATCCAGGTGTCCTGATTTAGAAAATTAACCCTTGTGTCCTGATTCAGATTACTTAACTCATGTCCAAATTCAGGTAACTTAACCCATATTGAGATATCTTAACTCATGTCCCGATAAGATATCTTAACAAATGTGTCCCGGTTTAATATCTTAACCCAGGTATCCTGATACATGTGTATCAACACATGTAGCCCCTCTCTAAGAATTGTTTCCATGTTAAGTGTTAACTCACTGATGTCATCCGTCATGTTGCAGGAACAAACAGAACCTAAAGGTTCGGGAACACAACATTTTGGGGCCATACGTGGATGGGTTATCTACCTTGGCAGTCGGGTCCTTCCAGGTAGGCTGCAGTGCTCGCCCTTCAGTGGTGTTAGCACAGTGAATCAGATGTACTTCGAATTCCTTCATGGCCAATGTGTAACGACAATGAGGATTGCTCTCATGAGGGGATAGATGCTGATTAATGTAATTAACCAATTGAACTTTTGTCAGGCATTTATCTAGACCTACTCAGAGGCCGGTTTTTGGCCCCAAGTCTGCAAGAAATCTCAGTAAATATTCCCAAATTGGAATTAATGTTTCCCAATTCATGTTAATATATATAGAACCAATCTTATCGCTTTGTTGGTGACTTGTATTTCACTGATAACAGAACCAATAAACAGGAAGAGGTTTTAATGCTCTGTTTTATATTATGGCAATGTTAAAAAACCTCTCAATTTTGGTAAATAGGAACTTCAAAAAAATCCAAATTGGAACAATATTATTATCTATTTCCAAATTTTCATGCCAAGAGCATGTAGTTTAAAATCCTAGGTAAATCCCTGCTTGTATGTTCAGTAAGGAGATTGACGGTGACTTTGCTGTGTCTACTCTATGTTACATTCATGTCTGCATGGAAGTGAGGTGGCTCAAGGGGAACTGCTGTTCATAGATACACAGACCCGGGTTTGATTCCCATACAAGTACAATCAAGTGTGACCCGGGGTAGAATAGGTCTTCAGCAACCCATGCTTGCCGTAAAAGGCGACTATGCTTGTCGTAAGAGGCGACTAACGGGATCGGGTGGTCAGACTCGCTGACTTGGTTGATGCATGTCATCATATCCCAATTGTGTGAATTGATGCTCATGATGTCAATCACTGGATTGTCTGGTCCAGACTTGATTATTTACAGACCGCCGTCATATAGCTGGAATATTGCTGAGTGCAGCGTTAAACAACAAACCAACCAACCAACCAGACAATCAAGTGTTGTTTGCCCAATGCTGCCTCAGCAAGCTTAGGGGCGGTCAGGTAGCCTAGTGGTTAAAGTGTTCGCTCGTCACGCCGAAGACCCGGGTTCGATTCCCGACATGGGTACAATGTGTGAAGCCCATTTCTGGTGTCCCCCGCCGTGATATTGCTGGAATATTGCTAAAAGCAGCGTAAAACCATTCTCACTCACTCACTCACTTAGCAAGCTTACACCCCTTCCATTGTCCTGTTGTATTTTCAAGGGTGGACTTACTCACTCACTCACTCATTCATGGCCTGTCATGTGAGTGTTTGTCGGAGAATACCGTCACCCGATGTTCTGTTGTTGCAGGATATAGATAGTCTCATGAGTGAAGGGAACAAATCAAGGACGGTAGCAGCGACCAACATGAACAGTGAAAGTAGCCGATCTCACGCTGTCTTCAACATCATCATCACACAGACACTCACCGACCTCCAGTCAGGGGTAGGTAACTCTATGCATTATTGACAACATGAAGAGACAAACCAGACAAGACATATGTTGTCAGTGCAGGATGTTACAAATCTTTGGCTGAAGCAAGCCAAGACCATATCCCCAGTAACTGCATTTATGTAATGTATAAACTTCAGATATAACGAAATGATTTCAAGGATCGATGGTAGTTTGTTATATCCAACGTTAACTGTATGTGATCATGTCTTGGGATAAGATTGTAGGTATTCACAGAGTAATACTGTCTTAACATGACACATGCATGGCATGCCTGTATTTTGGTGGTGGGAGTTTCCGCCACACCAAAGACCTGGATTTGAATCCCTACATGTGAATACTTTAGTTTTAGTATCCATCGTCACGGATATAGCTGGAATATTGGTAAAAATGGCATAAAACAATACTCACTCACTCATTAGTCATTTCATGACATTCACTGCATCACATACGTCTCATCAATCATGGCACATTATTTCTCTCATGTTTGAGAGAATCTTATCCATAGTGTGATGTGTGGGTGTACGGTTTGTGATGATCCCGTGGTATGATTGCCCCAGGTGATACAAGGAATTGACAACCAATTTCAATAATCCTCCATTTCAGCCAACATGTCTCTGAGAACTGTCTAATAGTTCCTTCACATTCTGTGGGCATCTATAGTCTGGAAGGTAATTTAAGGTACCGACGTTTACTACAATATCTGAAAAACTATCGGACCTACTCCAGTCAAAGTTGGTATGAGATTATTAAACAGTCATACATAACTGGATATTACATTTAAAGACAATCGGTGCATAAATTAAAAATCTGTCTATTTAGCTATCACTATATTTCATCAACAACCAGACCTGTTCGTCACGGGTGGAACGAGCATTCATTGTAACAGCCATCTGCATAATGCTACCCCTGCGTCACAGGGCCATATGACACAGTTGAACAAATCAACTCAACTCGAAAGGTTGGATGAGAATCACTCACGTTGAGACGCCCAACGCTAACACCGTATTCGTGCGTGCGTGATTCCCGTGCAACCTTTCGAGTTCATGAACCGATTGTCTTTAAATGAATATCCAGTTATGTATGACTGTTTAATAATCTCATACCAACTTTGACTGGAGTAGGTCCGATAGTTTTTCAGATATTGTAGTAAACATCAGTACCTTAAATTACCTTCCAGACTATAATTGGAGAAGTGTTTATTGGTGTTGTATAACTCCATTATAAATAGCATTGTTTGATGTCCCTGCATTGTAAGTTGGAAATGATGCATGAATTTACCAGTGCACCAAGATATTAAATTTCACGATATCTTACAAGATATTCTTGATTCTGTATTGGTACATATTTTTCACAAATTGTTTTATTATCTGCAAATCAGATGATTTGCAACAGATGGTGTTTCCCAGTTTTGCTCTGTCACATATTGCCTGTTACATGGTCTGACTCGTGAAGATCCGGGGTGGAATAGGTCTTCAGCAACCCATGCTTGCCCTGAAAGGCGACTATGTAAGAGGCGACTAACAGGATCTCTGGTCAGGCTCGTTGACTTGGATGATGCATGTCATCGATCTCAATTGCGTGGATCAATGCTCATGATGTCAATGATTGGATTGTCTGGTCCAGACTCGATTATTTACAACCGCCGTCATATAGCTGGAATATTGCTGAGTGCGCCGTTAAACAACAAACCAACCAAACAAAAATGTTACATGGTCTGTTCTTGTGTTTTGATCCAACAGGGCCGTTCAAATACCAAAATGTCCTACTTGCCCATAGGCACATAATCTAAAAAATTCTACTTGCCAAGCCTGATTTTCAACCTCCCCTGCTGAATCAGAGAAAAGAAGAAAACTTCAATTTAACAACAAAACTTGATGACTGAAAAAAGAGCTAATGAGAGTTATGCAGAATAGAAAAATGACGAGTCAGCCCTTCGTTCGATTAGCGACATGGGTACATAAGTGAAGCCCATTTCTGGTGTCCCCTGCCATGATATTATTGCTTAGCAATGTAAACCCAAACTCACTCACTCACTCACTCACTCACTCACTCACTCACTCACTCACTCACTCACTCACTCACTCACTCACTCACTCACTCACTCACTCACTCACTCACTCACTCTGAATGTCCTGAATAGGAGTTACAGTGTTTTCACGGACTGTCATTATACATCATATAAAGTATGGCAATATGTGTCATAGTTCACTTTTGACTGCTAATACTCATTCCTATGGGTGACATATAGAGGATATCATATGAGTGTTCATGTCATACTATCTTTACGACGCGAGTGTCTAAATTATGGTATTTCCCAAGCAACAGTGTTTATTTATTACCGAAGAAGATGTCTACATACAGAGACGAATTTTAGTGTTTACCTATAAACACAGCAAGTCGTAACAGCAGCAGAACCACGATTTGTCAAATGACGTCAACAATCTTCAGCTATGACCGCGTTTTTAGTGTGATGTCATTCCGACCTCATGTCACAATAAGATCTGCATGATGGAAACAATACACTGTTGTCTTGTGATGTGATATGACCCTAGGGCACATATGATTTTTATAAACCCCGATATGTTTGCCCTTATAGGTAATAAGAGATCACATGCCATCTTAAGTGACTGTCCACTCAATACACTTACCCATGCTCGTGGGCTTCACCGAAGTGGGTAAAGTGGAAGACCTGCATCACTTCAGGCAATATTCCTTAATCAAGCTGACATGATGTAACTGAAATACTCTTAAGAAAGTCATGAAACCAAACTCACATCCTCCCAACAAATTTTAATCAATTATGACCAACTTTTATTGTGACAATTAGTGCTTGTATATGAGAAAAACGTGTATTAATGTCATAGCACAGGCTTCACCCAGACCCATGTTCTGAATACTGTACAAGTCAGCATTGAATGACAGACATAATCACAACATTTCACTGATACAGAATATCATTTTTATTCTAAGTATTACAGTATTTGAGTTGTATTTGAAATATATCAGTTTTAAGACAAATAAATAACATGGTATATACATGTCTACACATGAGGCAGGTGAGTTGACATGAAGTTTGGGTTCAGATATCTGCTTGTATGTTTTCACGTCATGTGGAACTGTTTTATGTCAAAAGTCCTGGAATGACGTATTTTAAGTCAATCCGTCACTGATACGAAGGGATGAAGTCGAGTATAAATGACTAAAAGTCACATTAACCAAGAAGCAGAACAAAGAAAAAATTAATTCCCTTTTTTCATTTTGATCCATGCGTTAAAATATCAGCACACTATTCTATGGCAATTGTAATATTTCTTGTAAATGAACATTTTGTTCATATGTGGTATTAATTTTTTTAGAAGTTAAATGCTATTATTTTACTTTTGTGCACAACTGTTACCATGGAGATTTCCCTGTTTGTCTCCCTAGTAAAAGGTGAATTTTCTTTTGTTAGGTATTTCAAAAAACCAGATGATTTAATAAATCTTAGGAAAATATATAAACAGTGATTAGGCAACCCAGACATCCATTATAGATGTGTATATGTCTGGGCCATGTATGAATGTACGTCTAGCATGAATGTGCCGCCCACCTGGGGGAACGTATGGCTCCTAATGGCTCACATTGTCACCCAATTACATCTGTACATTCATCAGGAAGAAAAGATAAGATAAGACCTGTTATAAATGGTCATACCCACACAGAGTTTGATATATGGCCTGTCTGTATATTGCTACAAATCATGAAAATAAGCAATGTATGAAACGTCATTAATCAAGATAACCTTGTGACAAGTCAGACGAACATTGAGCCACTGGTCTGTATGTTGTACACTATAGGGTCATGGAACAGTTAAAGCACATGTGTGGATGTGTCTTGGAACACTTTCATGCACTCAATAAGACCTGATTTTTGTGTTTGATGTTGCTTTGTTTGCTGAATAGCTTTGTTGAAATATTCAGAACTATTTCATTCAGATTGATAAAAGGCCACAATACACCAATTATTTTATATTCATACATATTTTTTTAAAATTTTGAAGTGGGAGGCATTTTGTTATATATTATTTTTCTTAACTACCCATGGATGCAATTTACATAATCTTGATTGTTTGGTACCGGGTAGTACTACATATTGGTGTCTTTCATCAATGAAGAAAGAAGTAAACACGCACACTACGAAGCAATTTTCTTCATCTGCAGGTGCTTGTGAACAATATAAGGATGACAGCGAGGTGTTTTGTCATGAGACAGACAGGAATTAAAATCTAATAATTAATATCCAGGTACTGATTGACTGAATTCTAGTGGGCTATACAGAATAATTTTGATTACCAAGTTGATCCTGAGTAAAAGCAGTTACTTTTGTTAAAAGAGTGCAATTCTTGTCACATTAGTTTGATATCATATTTATTGCAACCCATCCCGCCCTACAATCTGTATAGTTGTTTGATATCATGTTCATTGCAACCCATCCCGTCTTACAATCTGTATAGTAGTTGGATATCATATTTATTGCATCCAATCCCGCCCTACAATCTGTATAGTTGTTTGATATCATGTTCATTGCAACCCATCCCATCCTACAATCTGTATAGTAGTTGGATATCATATTTATTGCATCCCATCCCGCCCTACAATCTGTATAGCAGTTTGATACGTTCATTGCAACCCATCCCGTCCTACCATCTATAGTAGTTTGATAATATGTTCATTGCAACCCATCCCGTCCTACAATCTGTTTAGTAGGTTGATATCACTGTCTTTGCAACTCCACTCCAGCATATAAATTATATACTAGAATCATAACAATCACACCCTGTCCTACATTCTGTACAGTAGGGTGGTATAACAATGGGCTGTGTATTGGCAAAATATTTGTATTGCGATATATTGGGAGCTAATTTTCCCATTTTCTACTCACTACAGTAACTGTTTCTCACTATGGTCAGTCGTTGCCATTTTGTAGTCATGTATGGATACAGGGGAGATAACAAAAGTCACTTCCTCACTTCCTCAAGTCATAATAACCACACCCTGTCCTACAGTCTATAAAGTAGGGCAATATTAAAGTCATAATAACTACACCTTCGTTGTCCTACAATCTATACAGTAGGGCGATATTAAAGTCCTATAACCACACCCTGTCCTAAAATCTATACAGTAGGGCGATATTAAAGTCATAATAACCACACCCTGTCCTACAGTCTATATAGTAGGGCGATATTAAAGTCATAATAACCACACCCTGTCCTACAGTCTATACAGTAGGGCGATATTAGTCATAATAACCACACCTTGTCCTACAGTCTATATAGTAGGGCGATATTAAAGTCATAATAACCACACCCTGTCCTACAGTCTATATAGTAGGGCGATATTAGTCATAATAACCACACCTTGTCCTACAATCTGTATAGTAGGGCGATATTTGTCATAATAACCACACCTTGTCCTACAATCTATAGTAGAGCGATATTTGTCATAATAACCACACCTTGTCCTTCGATCTGTATAGTAGGGCGATATTAGTCATAATAACCACACCTTGTCCTACAATCTGTATAGTAGGGTGATATTTGTCATTATAACCACACCTTGGCCTACAACCTGTATGGTAGGGCGATATTAAAGTCATAATAACCACACCCTGTCCTACAGTCTATACAGTAGGGCGATATTAGTCATAATAACCACACCTTGTCCTACAATCTGTATGGTAGGGCGATATTTGTCATAATAACCACACCTTGTCCTACAATCTGTATAGTAGGGCGATATTAGTCATAATAACCACACCTTGTCCTACAATCTGTATAGTAGGGTGATATTTGTCATAATAATCACACCTTGTCCTACGATCTGTATAGTAGGGCGATATTAGTCATAATAACCACACCTTGTCCTACAATCTGTATAGTAGGGCGATATTAGTCATAATAACCACACCTTGTCCTACAATCTGTATAGTAGGGCGATATTAGTCATAATAACCACACCTTGTCCTACAATCTGTATGGTAGGGCGATATTTGTCATAATAACCACACCTTGTCCTACAATCTGTATAGTAGGGCGATATTAGTCATAATAACCACACCTTGTCCTACAATCTGTAAAGTAGGGTGATATTTGTCATAATAATCACACCTTGTCCTACGATCTGTATAGTAGGGCGATATTAGTCATAATAACCACACCTTGTCCTACAATTTGTATAGTAGGGCGATATTTGTCATTATAACCACACCTTGGCCTACAACCTGTATAGTAGGGCGATATTTGTCATAATAACCACACCTTGTCCTACAATCTGTATAGTAGGGCGATATTTGTCATAATAACCACACCTTGTCCTACAATCTGTATAGTAGGGCGATATTTGTCATAATAATCACACCTTGTCCTACGATCTGTATAGTAGGGCGATATTAGTCATAATAACCACACCTTGTCCTACAATCTGTATAGTAGGGCGATATTTGTCATTATAACCACACCTTGGCCTACAACCTGTATAGTAGGGCGATATTTGTCATAATAACCACACCTTGTCCTACAATCTGTATAGTAGGGCGATATTTGTCATAATAACCACACCTTGTCCTACAATCTGTATAGTAGGGCGATATTTGTCATAATAACCACACCTTGGCCTACAACCTGTATAGTAGGGCGATATTTGTCATAATAACCACACCTTGTCCTACAATCTGTATAGTAGGGCGATATTTGTCATTATAACCACACCTTGGCCTACAACCTGTATAGTAGGGCGATATTAGTCAAAATAACCACACCCTGTCCTACAGTGTATATAGTAGGGCGATACAGCAGTAGAAACATTTTTAGTCCACTAGTCCTTATAATGATAACATATAACAAAACCCTTAAACATGGCAAATTTCTACTAGTCCTTATGATACCTTAACCATTGGGCAGTTTTGCAAGGACTACAAAACAAGTGCCAATTTGTAACGCTGGTGATATTAGTCATAATAACCACACCTAGACCTACAATCTTTACAGCGGGACAATATTAGTCATAATAACCACACTTTGCCCAACAATCTATATAGTAGTGCAATATTAGTCAAAATAACCACACCTTGTCCTTCAATCTATACAGTTGGGCGATATTAGTCATAATAACCACAATCTATTCTCAAGGTTGATAATCCATAACAACGACATTTCAGATCATAACAGTTAGGAATCTATGAACTGTATCTCTACGTGTATGTCATTTTCATGAGGAATTCACTTCACTGTTTAATAGATTTGAAGTTACAGCCAAGTTTGTTACTCATTTCAAGTGATTTTACAATTTTACACTGAAATGTTTCATTACATCAATACCAGGTGCAGTTGCCATATATCCCATTCTTCAATTCATGAGCTCAGGAATTTTCTTTGTTGTGGCCCATCTGTGAAACCTTGATAACAGCCGGTGGAGTTAGGGGCGTGTCCCGGATGACTCCTGTCAGTGAGAGAGTCTGGCAGTTCCTTAAACCTTGGAGATCCTTGAGCAGGTTCCACCTTGAATTTCTTCTTCCACAACAGGAGCCCTAGGATGACTGCAGCAGCCAGGAGGATGGCACAGGTCACACCAGCAATGATGGGGACAGGGCTGGACTCCCCAGCTTCTCCTGGTCTGTGGGTGGAAGGGTTCCTTTGGTTACCTCCAGTGGTTGTTTGGTTTTCTTGATGGATGCTTGAGTTTGTGGAAACTTGAGGAGAAGGATGTGTCTGGAGAGTTTTACTGACAGGAAGGTTGCTGCTGATTTCATTTGGATTCGATGTTGGAAACGATGTTGGAATCGTCCTTGCAGTAGTGGAGAGAATTGATGTCTGGACACCTGTTGTGGCCCCTGGAGTTGTAGTGGCCAATGTTGTAGAAGCTGTTGATGTTGATGTAGTACTTGATGATGAAGTGGTAGTCACACATTCAGTTTCTAGGTCCAGTGCTATGTCCCCCAGCTTCTGACCTGCGTGGTTCCGTGACCTACAGGAAGGCCCTCCTCCCCGTTGAGTCTGCAGGTACCGGGCCAGCCACAGCTGGCCACACACACACTCCCAGTTAGCATTGTCATCCAGCTTCAACAAGGTAGTCATGTTGGTCAGGGCAGACATTGACTTGGGCAAACATGTTAGCTTTGTTGATTCGAGATTTAGCTCGGAGATTACGCTACCAGTGAAAGCACCAGGTTCAATCTGAGAAATTGGGTTGTTTTTCAGATCTACCAATGTAATTGTCATTCCAACAAAATCTCCGCCTTTCACGGTGGAGATCTTGTTATTTTCAAGTTTAAGATTTTTTGACTGGACCTTTGGAATAGATGTAAGTTCATTTGAGGACAGGTCAAGTTGGTCCAAAGTCAGACTTGTAGCAAATGTTGTAAGCTTGTTTGAGTTTAGAGTTAGAGTTTTCAATTTTATTGTCTTTTCAAAATATGCATCTGGAAGAGATGATATTTGGTTATTTTGAAGGTTTATGCTCTGTACAGAAGTCAGTAAGTCGAATGTGTTGGCTTCAATTGTTGTTATTCTGTTATAACTAAGATCCAAAGACTGCAGTCTTCCCAACCCAGAGAAGCTTCTCTGTTTTAAAGTTGTGATACGATTCAACTGCAGGTTAAGATGGATGAGGGACGTGAGATCCCCAAGAGCATCATCAGGGAGCACAGCTACTGTGCTCCTTGTTATCTTCAGAGATTCCAGCTTTCTCAGGTTTTGAAATGTGTTTCGGTCATATGTGCTGAACTTGTTTGATATGAGCTCCAGGTCTGTCATGTTCACATTGTCCTGGAATGGGGAGCCCCTCAACATGATGATATTGCAGTTGTTTATAATCAGAGTCTGGAGATTTGTCAGATGCCCTAGTTTAGCTTTTGTCATCATCCCATCTTTGAATGCACCACATGGAGTGTTCACCATTGTGAGACAAGTCAGAGTTGCAGGGAGATCAGTTGGACATTTATTTTCTGGGAGACAGATCTTTGCTGGGTCACATTTCCCAACACTCAGCAATGTCAGAACAGGAAACATAAATGTCACTATTGTGGAAGCCATTGTCACCACCAACATCGTAAACGTTTCAAATGTATTGTCAGATTATTGAGTGTGGTCACTTACCCATGGTGTTATGAGATTAAGACTCCAGCATCCACACGAAGATAGCTAGGCTCCCAAGAGAACAAGATGGTTCAAGATCTACCGTGGTTGATGGCAATATCAACTCTGTTGTCACCAAGATTTCTTTAACGAACAGTTGAAATTGGTTGTGAATGCCTTATCTCTACATAATTGTCACTGCAAGGGCACCGCTTGACATCCACAAACCGGCTCACTGGCGGACTTCTGATGGTGTCGGCACCTTCCCACCAACTTAGACTAAATCATGTTTCTTGTAACGCTTTTTCAAGTGAACGCACACTTAATGTGTGATAGAAATTCTAAATTAAAAATTCCTAAGCGTAACTCCTTTTGATGTAATTGTTTAGTCCGCTGTGGTATTTACTTTCTCTATTGATTTTGTTAAAGTTTAATATACATTAGACTTGATCAATACCTTGACCCTTAGGTCTGTAGGCTCATTAATGTCTTATCATGACAAGCAGTCACACACTATGATTTATTGCATCCTCTAAAGTTTATGTCAAAATATTAAGGGTTATTTATGGTAGACACATTGTCTTACAAATTTCCAGATGTCGAGAAGATAAAACAAATATCCAATAGGCAATTTATCAGAAGCTCTGTAAAGTGTATGTTAACACTGTATTAACTGACTTGCATGGTTTGTATGGGTAATTTGGGTCCAATTTTACAAAGAAATTGTTTCGATAGATCCATCGAAGCTTCCACTGTTGACAATGATGTACTGCAGTAGTACAAGTGTGGTCGTATCATGAAATTAGGATATGAAATGTTATTAAACTACTGTTATGAGTCATTTCAGGGTAGGCTTTATTTCAGTACAGTTCACATCAATTACATATTACATATCACATAGGGGCCTTGGGGTTAAAGCATTTGCGGGTTTAATTCCTCATATGGGTACAATATGTGATATTGCTGGAATATTTTAAAAGTGTACTAAAACCCAGCACATTCGCACACTATATTCACATGCACAAAAATATCTTCAGTTACATAATATGGCGTCAAATGTGTTCTTTTCTTTTCTATTTTTTTGTAATTTATACTTAACACATAAATTTGCTATGACACTTAAACTGCTGCATCTTGTTAAAAGTAGTAGATTGTCACAGCTGGTTGGCTTGAGTCCTGGAGTGATTTTGTTGATCGATATACACTGACTTTTTTATTCACTTTAAGAAAAGAATAAAGGATAAACATATAACTAACACATAACAGTTAAAAGGAAAAAATACAACTGTGGATACATTTACAAACTGACAACCAACCTGCATGTCTTGAAACTCTGATAACGAAATACGTATTGGATGGTTCCAAGCACTTCAGCTCATCAAGGTTTCTGGGTATGTATAATCCAAAATGACATGGAGCGCTTTTGAAAAACAAATTAGTCTTCCCAGACAGAATTGATGTCTATTTTGGAACATTTTGAAGTCAAAGAGTGTCCCCTAACCACTGAGGCATCTTAAACGAGGAGCAGTCTGTGTCAGCAGGTTCTGGTTATTCCTGCCATGAGGACTGTCAGAATGGGGACACTTTGTTCCTGTTCTTGTTTTTGTTCTTGTACACAATGCAAGTTGTGGCAGTGCCTGCCAACAGCAGCACACCACATGCCACACCTGCAATGATGGGTATGAGAGAGGTGTCATCGGTCAGCATCTGTGTTGCACTGATGGCAGTGGTGGTAGCCTTCACTTTGGGAAGAGGTTTTGATGTGGTTTTTGTTGTTGGTATTCTTGTTGTAGTTGTAATTGTTGTTAAAGGTGTTGTGGTGGTTGTAGTAGATGTGGTTGTAGTTGTAGTAGGAGTTGTTGTGGTAGTTGGAGTTGTTGTGGTGGTTGGAGTTGTTGTGGTGGTTGGAGTTGTTGTAGTTGTTGTGGTGGTGGTGGTGGTGGTGGTGGTTGGAGTTGTTGTTGTTGTTGTTGTGGTTGTTGTGGTTGAAGTAGTAGGAGTGGTAGTTGTTGTAGTGGTAGTGGTTGTTGTTGTCGTGGTAGTAGTTGTAGTTGTCATGCATTCAATCTCCAGATCAGGTGTGGATTCTGACAATTTTCTTCCCATGTACATAATAGGACTCATACAGGTAGGCCCGTCCGATACCCTGCGTGAGTTGAGGTAGCGCGCCAACCATAGCTGGCTACACACACACTGCCAGTTGTCATGGTGATCCAACTTCAGTGTGTGCACTGATGCCAACATGCCCGACATGGACTCTGGCAAAGAGCTGAGCTGGTTTTCTCCCAGATCCAGCTCCGAGATGTGGCTCCCAGCAAAGGCACCGTCCTCCACGTTTCTGATTGAGTTGTTTCTCAGGTTGAGAGTCTTTACAGTTAAACCACCGAAATCACCTGCAGCAACTGATGTGATCTTGTTATTTTGAAAGTTGAGTGTTCCAGGAGCAGATCGACAGGTCTTAAAGTTCGGAACAGATGTAAGCATGTTTTGAGATATGTCCAGAGTGTCAATGGCAGTTCCTGTGAAGGCATCTGTTGCCACAGAGGATATCTTGTTAGAGGTCATGTCCAATGTCTTCAGGTTCCCTAGGTTGGAAAACAGAGATGTAGGGATTGCAGTGAGTTGGTTGTGTGGAAGTTTTATGGTTTGGACTGATTGTAGAGGTTGGAAGGACTTGCTGCCAACAGTAGTGATCACGTTATATGTCATGTCTATTGTCTCAAGACTGGACAAGCCAGCAAATGCTGCCTCTGATATGTCTGTGATCTTGTTGGCCATTATGTTGAGTGTCTTCAGAGATGACAGCGGAGAGAAGCCATTGTCAGGAAGAGTTACAATATTACTTCTCATCATGTTTAGTTCCTCCAGCTTTGTTAGACCTTGGAACGTTGTTGCCCCAAAAGTATTGAAGTTGTTCATCATGAGATTGAGATGTGTCAGTTGGGTGTTGCTCGCAAAGACAGCACCCCAGAACTTCTGGATGTTGTACCGATTGATGGTGAGAGACTCCAGTTTGGCCATTCTGCTGATGTATCTTGACATCATCATTGACTCCATTGGGGGACACTTGCCATTCATCAACACCAGGGTTTTCACACTTGGGGGCAGGGAATTTGGACAGATCTGCTGACACACAAAATTTTCTGGTTGTCCACTTTGCCCAATGTCACATTTCATACAGGGAGGTGGACTGCACGAACTGCTTCCGCCAATAGCACACAGGAGAAGCATTGCTGGGGCAGTGATGTACTCCATTCTCACATGCAGGTTTCCTTAAAATTGTCAAGTAGCTGAATTTGAAGGACTTCAGTATTTGGCTACAGGAAAGCCAGGTGAAGGTGGTTCCAATACTGTATCAGCTAAAGAACTGTATCAGCTAAAGAACAGTCTTGTGAGTCGTGGATAAAGTGATTAACCTCTCAGCAGAACACAGTCGATTTCTTCGAATGTCATCTGTCACTTGTGGAGTAAAATGTGTGCTTGACGCATTCAAGAACTACACAAAAGTCACTTTTGACAACGATAATGGTATCCCTTCTCTCAAGCGTCAGTTCATGTTATCGTTAACACTGGAAGTTTGCAAATCTCTGCACAAGACTTTGTAATGTAATGACGCAGTTTCAAGTCCACAGATTTATTTTGGGCACGTTATGTTGTCATCATTTGATTTGCTATTGATGAATTATTATTTTATGAGTTTAGATTGGATTAAGGATTCAGATCCAGCCACATGAATGTTTCGCAATGGACGTGTTTGGCTGCTATTTATGGAAAGTAAGCCTTTGCTACTTATCATAATGGAATCAGACATTAATAATTCTTAAGTTGTTAAGAGCGGTGATAAATGAGAGTGACAGCCATGATGGTATAAACCTTTCCTTGATGTAGGTAATATGTCAAGATTACGGAAATAATATGAGCTCCAAACCCTAATTCCCTATCAATATGTGGTACCGGACCTAACCGGGTAAAATGTACCTTTGCTTGTCCCTGTATTGCTAATCTTTGCTACTAATGTTCACTGATTGTTATTATAAGCTTCTTTCAAAATTAGGGGTGCGGTGTGGTCCATAGTGCTGTCATTGGATGTGTTTGAGGCATTAGAATTGAAAGTTTAACAGGATATATTAAATCGTAAAAGATGTTTTAAGAACCTTTCCAAAAGCTGCATGAACACTGAAGTCAAAACCACAATAATGACCATAAGGAATGTTCTTTGAAGGATTGCCATCATCATGCAACTTTGCCTTTGTAGACGTTTAGGTCGTTTCCAAATTTGACCCATCAGTGACAAAAATTATGTCCAATGCAATCCCCTTTATGACTTGTACCATATTTTCCCATGTTTGTTTTTCACCTGAACAATTGACTTCCCTTTGCATGTGTTTGTGTCAGGTGCCACTCATGGGGCAGGATATGCTCACCTTTTCATGAAAACACATGCAAATGAAGAAGCCTGAGTCATACAATGGACTCTGCATTTAGCAGAGATATTTTATGATTGTTGTTGGGTTTTGACTTCTATTTGAAAAGAATGTTACAAAACTACACCTGCTGGGCCAAATGTTACATGGCTGTTTGATTTTTATAAGTTCTGTTTGTTGCCTTGCTGTCTCCCACACAAATACCTACTGGCACATGATGACAACCGTTCTTGTGAGAGATATTTGTGAGACACGTTTACTTTTTATGTTCTTTTTGTTGTCCCTGTCTGTGTTTTGCAACATAACGACATATGTAACAGGATGACAACTTGATGGATTGCAGGTTTGAGTTCTGTATACAATTTCTTGTGTCCATCACATGTCGACTGTTTCCTGTTGAAGGAGGGGTATCCGAGAGGCTTTATCAGAGTTGTTAATAGTTTCTGAGGGGTGGTCGGGTAGCCTGGTGGTTAAAGTGTTCCATCGACACGCCGAAGACCCGGGTTTGATTCCTGACATGGGTACAATGTGTGAAGCCCATTTCTGGTGTACCCCGCCATGATATTGCTGGAATATTGCTAAAAGCGGCGTAAAACCATACTCACTCACTAATAGGTTCTGACTTCACGACGAACATGTAAACTGGAACAGTTATTACTTACTTGTGAGCAAGGGACTATTTTGTGACTTCTCCACCTTTTGCTAGTGATCTGACTCATTGAATTAGTCTGAAGACGAAAAGAAAGTCGCATCGTCCTCTTTCAGCAAAACTGATGTCCCTACTGGACTAAATTTAGTAAGATGGTGAACCCGATCAGACACACGTGATTGATAATAATTACCTTCATACAAGACACATGATTTACTATAAGTACCATAAAACAAAGGACTGCCTCCGTTGTCTTGAGGTAGAGTGGAAGGTCTGGAGTTCAATCCCCAGCTGCATGATACCAAAAGTGAGTGAGTGAGTTGGGTTTAATGCCGCTTCTAACAGTATTCCAGTTATATCACGGCATGTCAGCTTAATGTGGCTGGAAAGCCCGAAGTGACGCAGGTCTCAGGGGTTTACCACTTTGGTGAAACCCATGATCATGGGTATGGTGCTGACAAACCTAGAAACATATTTGGGCGAACCGGGATTCGAACCCACAATCATAGGTTTCTGGCGTGCCCAAGGGACACAACTCTGCACAGCGAATCGCGGCACCTTAGACCTGTGCCCCCCTCATACCAAAAGACATTAAAATACAAGACACCCATGGTTTAATAGTTATTACCTAAATACAAGACACCCATGGTTTAATAGTTACTACCTAAATACAAGACACCCATGGTTTAATAGTTACTGCCTAAATACAAGACACCCATGGTTTAATAGTTATTGCCTAAATACAAGACACCCATGGTTTAATAGTTACTACCTAAATACAAGACACCCATGGTTTAATAGTTACTACCTAAATACTATTTACTCTTGTTATATAGATTGGTATCATCAGGATATGGCTGAAATATTGCCGATGTGCCATTAAATCTAATCACCATTCTATATTCTGAGAGGGGGCCTTGGATTATATTGATTTTTATCCAAAATAAAACAAATTGTACAGGAGTAACTCTTTCAAAATATATTTATGCTTCAGAGTGCTGGAAAAAAATAGAAATTGTCCACCCAAAAAAAAATATTTTTTTGCAAGATGTTTTTTATTTTGTCTTTATTTCGACTCATAGTTTTAATTACAAAAATATCTGGTTTTGCAGTTGCAGCAAAAAACAATATCTAGTCTTCTTACAAAATCACAGACCCTTGTGGATAGCTGCTAACAATATCAATCATTTTTTAGTTTTTTGTTTGGTCCAGACTCAACTATGCACGGGCTACCATCATATAGCTGCAATGTTGCTGAATGCTGAGTTAAACAACAAACAGACCAACACACCCTTTTGAGTTATTCTGCTGATTTTATGATTGCTTCCGGAAGTGTCATCACTGGATATGAATCAGAACAAATGAAATTTCACTGGATTTACAGTCTTTATGTACAAACTTCAAATACAGGTTCTCTCCAATACATGAAGACTATAGTCATGTAACCGTATATGTCAGAACATGGAGGGTGCACATGGAACAGCTTACTCCAAATTCTGGGATAGCTAGCAGTTCTTATTCAAGAGGCAAACTTATAACCTCAAGGACGGTTTGATTACACACATTCAACCAGTAGGCTACCATCACAATTCGGTGTCAGTAAATTCTTCCAGGGCAGTTTTTGTTTCTGAAAATTCAAATGCTTGGTTCTGGAATTCTACAATCGGTCTTCCAAGAACATGGATGGGGCTGTTCTGTTTGCTACTATGTCCCCCTAGGGTTTCCACCCCCACCACCATAGAGGGCAGTTCTACACTGGTCATGCTGCACATGCACTGGATGTCCGTATCCGTGTCATTGTCAAAGTCCGTCAGATCCACGTATCCCCGCACCTGTTGGCAACATTGTTGGCCTTGAGAGCACGTCCCAGTGATGTGCCTCTCCCTGGTTATCCCTGTTGGAATGGGATGGGCATCATGATGTTGACGAGGACCGACATTCAATGGTTTCTCCCTCATTTGAGATTTTATGCTTCGATATCTATGGATGTCACTAAATCCACTTGATTTTCTATCATTGGGTAAATGATGACGATGAATCTGAGCCTCGGTTTCAACTTGTGATGAGTCTGTGGATTGGCTCAACTCCAAGTTTGAAATTGTCTCGTGTGACTTGTCAAGATTTTCGTTCCTGCGAAATTGGTGCGAAATAAATGAAGTATCTAACTGTGGGGAGAGGTCAAGGCCACTAGCTGTTTCCAAACTCCTATCTCGGCTCAGGGACCTGTCTGCTAGTGAATAGTCACCTGATATATTGTCCTCTCCATTCAAGGAAATAGTGCGTGTGATGTTTTCCCTGGAATATGATTGGTTGAGATGGCTGCTGCGTGATACAGAGTTGTATTCTCCTGCTGGCTTCACCTGGTACAGCTGCACACTCTCACGCTTCTTGGATTTGCTGCTTGAATCAGGATCATTTGTCAGTTTCTTGTAAATGGAAAACATCACCAGGTTTAACACAACCAGGATGACCAGAATTGAACCAATCACAGCCGTTGTTACAATCTGTGCCTGTGTCATATTGACAGGTGTTGTCATGGTGACATTTACAACATGGTTTTCCATTCTAAAACTGTTGCTGAAGAATGAAAAAGTTTTGAAAATATTTACGACTTTTTAGATCAATGTAATTGAACCAGCTTATCATTGCTTATTAAAAGCAAACTCTAGAATACCACACGATACTGAACTGATGAAAATATTTATATATAAGTTAGGTGCCTCTTGATAGCTTAATCATGCCATTGGTTGAATAAAGATTCTCAAGCTTTTCATAGTGAGGTCATGGCATGGCTTGGTAACAGTCCATACAGGGTAATGTCCCTTTGGTCTCCCGATGACAGCTTTTCAACTTGGTCCAAGAGACTTTGGAATGTATTTTTTACTGGTCAATGAATGTTTTTGATTCAGATCAGGTCGTTCAGTACATTCATCTGAAGAGTCCTGGCACCTAAAATAAAAAATCATCAGTGAGATACAACATTTCATTGCATTATTTTCTGTTTGATATGATTTTAAAGCCACTAAAAGCATATTTTCATTCTTAAAGGGGCTTCTCTTTACCTTCAAGTATAAAATTGTCATAGCAAACAAATAAATATATAAATAAATGCAAATTTGATCTGTTCCACAATCCATGATACCGGACTCATGACTCCAATGTAAGAAAAACACTTTTTTTTTAAAAGGTAAGAAAATTATGGCATATGAATGTCAAATACACAAGTAATTCATCCAACCATGTTGCTATTATGAGGTTTGTTGAAGTTAGAATAAGATTTTTAAGTTTTCTTGCAAGAGAATAAATAACAGTGTTGATTTATCAGCATTGTATTTTTAATATTTGAAATATCATCCTCTTTTCCTCAAAAGATTTATCACTCACTGACTGAAAAACAGTTAGGAGGCTGACACATATCCTTTTATCTTTATCGAACATTTGTTGTTTATGTGCAGTTTGAATGACTGGATGAAGAAACACCTCGTGACACACATCAATCATTGCTCATGAAATGTACATTCCATCCACGTACCATTAAATTTCCTTGCTCATATCTTCATTGATTTCTTTCCCACTTTGATAAACACTGCCTGTTGCTGCCCTGTGTGTTGTGTTCAAAGATAGGGAATATATTACATCCACAAGCTATGAGAGTGGAGTCTATTAAGTCCAGATTTATATGCCGATTATGAGTGGGTTTTGGCTCTAGTAGTGTCCCTCTTCAAAGAGCCCAGTGATGAGTCATATGTAAGGTCTTTATGTATAATGTGAGGAATGGAGATATTATTTACCTGGTTGTGAATCACATTTCAATGGTTGCGTGTCATTTAGCAGGTGCTCCGAGGGAGGAGAAAGGAAGAGCCCACAAGAACTGTGAGAGAAGAATGTAGCTTGGTTTACTTAGTGTTGGAATGATCATAGAGCATGTCTTTAGGCTTGTATCTTGATGTGAGCTTGACATGACTCGTACCTACCCTGGGGGTCAAAGGGTAAACTTTGGATGTAATTAAGCTGTTTATGTGCTTGTCTCTGCCGTTATGATCTCTTTAAGTGTATTCAATCCAACACTGTGCAGTTGGTGAAGCCTGTCATGACATTGATGTTCATTTTGCATTGTTCCTTTGTCTGTATCAGAAATGACATGTGTATGGGGTAGGGAGAGAGATGTTTATGTAAAACATAGCGTTTGATCTATGTCTGTGTGTGTCACTATACACTGATGGAATGTTGAGGTTTGATGTGAATGTATCCATGCATTGCTTCTCCTGCTAAACATCAGCACAATCACCTCACTTCATGTTTACCAATATCTTTGAGTGTACATTATTAGAGGCAATTTGTCAAAGTATTTCAAAATCATAATGTGAAATACTGTAACGGTAATTTTGCTTAAAACAATTGCCACTCAGGATTTTTGATGATTTTATCAACTCTTTATAGGACATTCTACTCTATCGTAACCAATTTGTTTGTAAATCTCTGAGATGTTTTGTATGAAATTTAGTCAGTGCCCTAGTGAATGAAGTGATCTGAAACTCATTTGATAGATTTCTCAAATCCATGTTACATCTAATCTCAAGCTCCTGTGGAAGACAGTTCAGATACTATAGTCCTGCTATAAACATCCAAGTGATGGACACTTGTCATCATACACATCCTGACTGCATGTGCATCACATGTACCCTGCTTCTGCCTGTGTTTCTATGCTGCTGTGTCCCTGTGCACTGGTGCATGTTCAGCTAGATGGGTTCAGCTGTGTAGGGTGCTACAGTTCAGGGTGTTACAGGTCAGGGTGTCAGGGTGTCATTGCTCAGGGTGTCACTGGTCAGGGTATCAGGGTAGCAGTGTGTCACTGGTCAGGGTATCAGGGTAGCAGTGTGCCACTGGTCAGGGTATCAGGGTGTCACTGGTCAGGGTGTCACTGGTCAGGGTGTCACTGGTCAAGGTATCAGGGTGTCACTGGTCAGGGTATCAGGGTGTCACTGGTCAGGGTATCAGGGTGTCATTGATCAGGGTGTCACTGGTCAGGGTACCCGGGTGTCACTGGTCAGGGTACCCAGGTGTCACTGGTCAGGGTGTCACTGGTCAGGGTATCAGGGTGTCAGTGGTCAGGGTGTCACTGGTCAAGGTATCAGGGTGTCACTGGTCAGGGTGTCCGGGTGTCACTGGTCAGTATCAGGGTGTCAGGGTGTTACTGGTCAGGGTGTCACTGGTCAGGGTATCAGGGTGCCACTGGTCAGGGTACCCGGGTGTCACTGGTCAGGGTATCAAGGTGTCACTGGTCAGGGTATCAGGGTGTCACTGGTCAGGGTATCAGGGTATCACTGGTCAGGGTGTCCGGGTGTCACTGGTCAGAGTATCAGGGTGTCACTAATCAGGGTGTCACTGGTCAGGGTATCAGTGTGTCATTGGTCAGGGTGTCACTGAGTGACCACTCTCACCTGGCTGTGTGTTAAAGCCCATTTACTCTCTCGCTGTGTATTGGGTTGACACAGTCAGTTGGTAGGTACTTGTCATGTAATGTGTTGCTCCTTCAGTGTGATGTCAGACTCACGTTGAGTTCACCACAAAAGATACCCTGTACCTAGGAACACTGAGCCAGGTATGTGTGTCGAGGCAAGGAGTCTGGCAGGTATATGTCATGCATTGGAAATATGTGTCTTGTACTAGTCATGTGTGGAGCTTGCCTTTGATGTGCCATGCCCCTCCAGTGTGCGGGTCGCCCGAAGACAGGCCTTGCATCAGGAGGCAGGCAGCTACTGTTTGGTGCACTGATCCTGATGCTGCTGCTGCACAGGGATAATGTCCCTCTGTCACAGGTTAAATTACTTCTACCACTGTCTTAAGCTGGAGCTGGGCAGTCTGTAGACCTACATTTAGTTTCTGAAATCTTATATTACACAATATCCTTCTTGACTCTAAAAATTTAAAAAAATTCCCTATGCTGATGTGGAATAGAGCTAGCTTGAGCTGGCTAGACTTGCGTTGTATGCGTTTCTAGATTTATTTATTTTTCATAAATAAATATATTCCACGGTCATGGTTCAGGACTAGGCAGTCTGTACCGACAACTTTTTTTATCCAGCTGAGCACGACTCTCAGCATCATGTTCGGTACATTTATTGTTTTGAAAAATGATTAGCTGAGTTTACAAGATCAAACTGAATGTTACTAGACTTCCACATTTATTCAACCACATGGTAGTTAACTAGTTAACAAGGTGCCACTAGAAATTGTGAAGTGAAAGTTGTTCAAGTGGTTACCTGGAGGGAATGTTGTGGGTAAGTCAAGTAAAGTTTGGGATTAAGAAGTCTATCATGTGGGAAACCTGATGACATTAGATATATTTTAGAGATAGCCATACCATCTTTGTCACCGAAACTAAATTACACTTCCATTTCTTGGACACACCTTTAATGTAAAGTTAAAAAAGGTTGATTTTGAATTCAGAAAGAAGAATATAAAATCTCAAAAAACACTTCTGTATATGCCAAGTACTTTCTCTCCTTTGTGGAGTTTGTCAATGCACAACTGTTACACTGATTATGTAGAAGATAAGATAAAATATCATTTATTGCAGAAACATTCCAATTACAAGACAGTCGCAGTTTTTTTAAAATGACAAAACATGATTCATATATACATATATACAGACATACATACATTCCTGTAGACACTAAAACCAATCAATATTAAATATTTGATGATATTGTATATAAAATGTCATCGGTTGTTTAAGGTCAAGGGGTATTTATTGTTTAAAATGATAAACATGGAAACGAATGCAATTGATATTGATGGCTTCATTATCCACGGGGCAATTACTGACTTTTCTGATTTGGAAAGTCAACAATTAGTGTAACATTTAGCATCACATTGTGAAAACTAGACACTCTGTGACCCTAACAATGAACTCCTTTCTCCTCCTGACATTCTGCAGTGTCACCAGGAATATACTGGTGAAGTGATCAATTATGTCTCATGAACCTCCAACTTATTTAAACCTGTCATCATTCATCTTTGTGATGTATTGCTGCCGTTATGTCTTCAAGGGATGGTCGAAGAGCAGGGTAATCCTTAAGCAAAGTATTATTCTGTATCGTTCCTATGTGAGACGCATTCCATGGCAAATCTGACTCTCTGTTTCCTGGTGTGTCAGCTTGCGGAACAAGCAACTACCGTATTCGACGAAATAAGCGCCCTGCTCTAATAAGCGCCCACGCCGATATTTGCTAATATATTGGCTAGTGAACAATCCCAATTTGCACCCCTTCCGATTGATCATTTTACACAAGACTTATTTATGCACCCTTAATTATGGGCAATTAAATTCTTGAAAAATACATCAGTCGAATATAAACATTTCAGGCTGTCAGCATAAACCACGAAAGTTATCTTTTTTTCACCAAAATAATATTCTAATAAGAGCACCCTATTTCTAATTTTGAGAGCACCCTGGGCGCTTATTACGTCAAATACAGTATTGTAATTTCATTGAAGATGCCCCTACATTATGTGACATCAAACTTCTTCTTTTTTTCATTTTTTTGGGATATTTTACAGTGATATTGATTTGATTATTTGTTATATATTCATTTTATTTAGAAATTGGTGATGATAATGAACAATTCCATGATATATCATTAATAGTACTTCTGTTCATCCTGAAAACAATTATTTTCAACCATCAATTAAGTGAAATTAAATAAAATTGCTGATCCTATGCACATTGGGGTGAAAAGGGATGGAGACCCATCATATTATTACCAGGAGAATGTAATGGCCAATTAAATAAAATTACCTGTTGAATGTAATTTCCGCTCAGCTATTTGGGTTACCAGATCCAGCGTTGTTCCCTGAATACTCTGGTTGTAGCTGTATAACTGAATATCACGTGCTATTACAATAGTCGACAACACCGACTGTCTTACACGGGCACAGAGTAACAACAAGGCTTTACCTCTAAGCCGAGCACACCTTGTGAATGGCCGACTATGTGTCAAATACAAGGAGGTCTGGCTAATGGCAGGAGGGCAGCAGAGTGCACAACTCTTGTGCCTAGATCCAGCCATCAGTCCACAGCCTGTGTTTGCCCCGTCATTGTTGGCTGTGTTGACATGGTCAAGATCCGTGAATTCAGGAAGGGATTCACTGCTTTCTGTTGAAATTCGATCAGATTAAAACAATATCATTATTTTCATAGTGATATGTTGACCTAAAGTGTTACCTTTAGATGTTGTACAGGACTTTTTTATTTTTTATCATTGTCCCTGGATAATGTTTTGTCACTTTAAAATTTAAATGCTTGTTTCAATATTCGAATATTTCTCCTTGGAGGATATGGAGGGCATCAGCGACTGTTATTTGTTCTTTTTTATACTGATATTTATTCTGAAAGAAAATGGAGCGGAAATATGAATTAAGAGTTGTATTTGTTAGTTTCGAATAATGTATTTGATAATGTGTTGTGTGGTAATCAGTTGACTGTGTAGAGGTAATAATAATAATAATAATAATAATAATAATAATAGGCTATTTATATTGCGCACCACTTGGGGGCATGCTCAAATTGCTTTTATTACCCCGGTCACTTGATCAGTGTACACTCAAGAATCATTCTCATCTCCATGGGGAGTATACAACCCAAGCACAGCCTGTTAGGAGCTAGAAGGTGAACAACCACATTGCCATCTCATCCTACTGAGTATCCATTCACTGCTGTGAGACACTAGGTATGATATCTTCCATGTCATCAAAACAAAACACATTCTTTCTGATATTCACATCGTCAATCTTAATGTCATGTGATGTTATTGTTTGTCTAATTTTCTAGTTTGAAATAAAGTTTCCACCTTCATGTATGTGGTGAAGTGCTGTTGTGGTTCTGTACTGTGTGATTAACTTATTTGATTTGAGTAATTGAAGTGAGATTTATGAACAGAGTAGTGTACTGTCTATCAAGGTGATCAGATCTACAGAACTTGTGGGTTAGAATAAGAACACAATTTCCAAATGTTTGCGGTAGCTTATGTCATTGAAAGTGGAAGTCTGCGGTCATATCGTGGTGTTTGTGTAGCTGGGAGTAGCACATGGCTCCCAACAATGAACCTCCTGTTGTGTATACTTCTGGCAATCTTTTAAGTACTGTCACATGGCAATTGGGGACAGGCAATTATAAATAACCATCCTCAGAATATACACGATATTACCATTCTCATTCCAGTACACAATATTACCATCCTCAGAACATACATATTATTACCTTTCATATTCCACTACACAATATTACCATTCTCATTCCACTACACAATATTACCATTCTCAGAATATACACGATATTACCATTCTCATTCCACTACATAATATTACCATCCTCAGAATATACACGATATTGCCATTCTCATTCCAGTACACAATATTACCATTCTCATTCCACTACACAATATTACCATACACGATATTATCATTCTCATTCCAGTACACAATATTACCATTCTCATTCCATTACACAATACTACCATTCTCATTCCATTACACAATATTACCATTCTCATTCCACTACACAATATTACCATTCTCATTCCACTACACAATATTACCATCCTCAGAATATACATATTACCATTCTCATTCCACTACACAATATTACCATCCTCATTCCATTACACAATATTACCATTCTCATTCCACTACACAATATTACCATACTCAGAATATACACAATATTACCATTCTCATTCCACTACACAATATTACCATCCTCATTCCACTACACAATATTACCATTCTCATTCCACTACACAATATTACCATACTCAGAATATACACAATATTACCATTCTCATTCCACTACACAATATTACCATCCTCATTCCACTACACAATATTACCATACACGATATTATCATTCTCATTCCAGTACACAATATTATCATCCTCAGAATATGCCCGATATTACCATTCTCATTCCACTACACAATATTTCTGAAACCTGTTGTTTATTACCAACCAGTTGATATTCTGGGGATTGGGGCCTAATTATTTGTTCCCCAAAAGTCTTGTCCTGGTAAAAAAATATTTCCGCACCCACACCATCAGACACTTGCGCACAGAAGCATGTGCACACACCTACAGGCACACACATACACCTACAGGCACACACACACACATAGCCTCACATATACTCACACTCACACACATGCACAGGCACACACACAATATTCATTAATGACTCACTGAAAGTCCTGGAAACAAACTGTGTTGTGGGTAAAAAGGAAAGTCTGCCCTTTGAACCTGATGAAGCCCTCTAATCCTGCTTGTAGACATGTTAGTGCATATAAATGCACTTCTCACAGGCTTGTGTAAATGAAAATTGAGTTTCACTTAATTTTAACTGTGTTAAGCTATGTAGGCAAATGCACCTGGTAATGTTGATATAGGGCAGCCAGGTGACTGATGGAGCAGCCTGTTGACATGCTGTACGGGTTATGTATCTGTGAGTGAGTGAGTGAGTGAGTTGGGTTAAACGCCGCTTTTAACAGTATTCCACTTATATCGCGGCGTGTCAGCTTAATGTGGGAGGAAAGCCCGAAGTGATACAGGTCTCAGATGTTTACCACTTCGGTGAAACCCACGAGCACAGGTATGGTGCTGACAAACCTAGAAACATAATCTGGGCGAACCAGAATTCGAACCCCTAATCATAGGTTTCTGGCGTGCCCAAGGGACGCAACTCTGCACAGCGAATCGCGGCGCCTTAGACGACTTGGCCACCCGTGCCCCCTATGTATCTGTGACTCCGGGTCTATCTTAGCTTCAAGTACAGCACAGTCATTAATATTCACATTTCTGGTGTCCCCCGCCGTGATATTGCTGGAATATTGCAAAAAGCGGCGTAAAACCATACTCACTCACTCACTCATTAATATTCAATCCCTGACATGTTGTTTCCAAAATGTTGAAACTTAAAATAGAGTATTGAATGAATTGAAGACAATCCTTTTGTTTGCTTTTCCCTCAGCACAGAAATCACTGCATGTTGCTGAGGTAAGGTGTATCAGAACATTCATCACACTGCCTTGAGAAGCCCTTTTGCCAGTGTTTGGCATTTGTTTGGATGTTTATATTTTCAAGATCCGTAAAGATTTCAAGTGCTTGTTGCTAGGCAATGGAGATGGTGCTTGTCTATGGTATTGCATCCTGAAATATGTGCTGAGTATATGGATTGTCGCTTCTTAACAACAAATATTATTTTCCCAGTTTGCAAATTTGTTTCACTTGGAACAACACTCATTGTATTCTTTGTAAACCAAAGGATGCAATTTTTTTCCGTATTTGATGTCACCCATATACATTTTGGGCAAACAAGACAAATTTTGTTAAGATTTATTTTTTTCTGTAGCTGTGAGGATAGTGGTCGCTTGTGAATGAGGGTAGAATGTTGAAGATGGATACCATGAGGTGTGGTAGCAATTGGAAGTTCATGGTGTGAAACTATTTTGTGTATTTCATCAGCTTGTGTGCATGTCCTGCATTTTAAACAAACATATTGAGGAAAGTTGAGGTTGTTATGCTGATGTCAACAGTATTCCAGCCATATGTTCAGGGGACAGACTGGAATGTGAGGGGGACAAGTGGAACTATTTAAATATTTTAATACAAAAACTTTTTTCTGTGATTTACTTTGGTATGTGCTATACAATCAATATATTGATGTACAGGTGAATATGTTCATTAAGCGATATATTTTTTAGTGATGTTGGCAACTTTACAATCCATTTGCGTATTATGGAGAACACAATTATCAAACAATGCTGATGTCAGCATTATTCAGCCATATGTTCAGGGGACTAACAGACTGGAATGTAAAGGGGACATGTGGAACTGTTTCAATATTTTAATAAAAAAACATCTCCAAATTTAAGCAAGATATACAAAACTATGGGGGTTTTTTCACAACAAAATGTTGGTGTTTGTTGTGAAATTGGATGATCCTTTAAGCCAGTGAGCTGTTGAGCATTTTTCCTGGATACACAGTATGTGGGCTATGCACAGTGTGACGCAGTCACAGCTAGCACTTCTCCCTGAGCTGCCCAGATCTGTATTCTAGTGGTCAATACAGACTTCTGTGTTTTGGGAGCCTAGTCCCTAGAATGTCGTCATACTGAATACCTGGCTTCTATTGGTTTGTGTGGTGTCCCATGTCATAGAATTGCTGGGATATTGCTGAAAGTGGCGTAGAAACCCTCATTCACTACCCCCATGTCTTGAACAGTTTCACCTCTTGTTGAATGACCTTTACCTGGAGGCAGACAGCTGTGCAAATGATCTTTATATGTTATAGACTTTCAAACCCAAAAGGTTTATCATGATACACTACGTACCAGGTGAACTAGAGAGCTGCTTGGCTCGGATTTTCTAAAGTTTAAGAGTGAAGCATTCTCTTCCAATTATCACCTATTTTAAGTTTGTACCCCATTTGTCCACCTCTGCTGAAACAGTTTACCAGCTATCCGTGAGGTGTTGTCATGGCAGATGATGACATGTTCACTACAGGGTACGTCTTCTGACATACAACACCATGTTTGTTCTACCTGTAACGAGTTACCTGTCTCGTTACCTGGCTTGCACACAAGTGTGTGGGCTACAGGTATTGACTCCACCTGAGAATTGTGTTGGGGTCACCACGACATTCACATTTGAAAGTCATGTTTCCTGTCTGCCAAGCCAAGCAGGATATGTTGATTTAAAGGAATTAATTCGGTGACAAGGAAATATTTTCTTCTTAAATAATGACCTTTTGACAAACACGTACCAAACAACGCTGGTGTTGAATAGTTACCAGTAGGATTTGTTTCCTTTATTGAGCTTAATGGGATTATCAAGCTCAACACCTATCTCACAACCACATGTTAAAAGACTGGACCCGACCTGGGTGACTTGAAGCCGGGCATTCTCTTGTCCTTGTTTTCAAAGTCAAATAAATCAGTGTGTATTTTGTACACCTTTAGGTTTACAAGTATTTGTGTTTGTAGGAATTAAGACCTGGGTTCCTATGATAAGGTGATCTTTTACAAACAGTTCTAGCCTTCTCATCCTGTTCATCATTCAGTTTACATCTTGAACTTAGGTATGAACTTGGACAAGCTTGCCCCGGTTTTTGAGAACAAAATCTCATTTGGCAAGCAAAGAAAAATATTTTTCAGAATTAATGTTTTTAAAATGATTTATTTCATATCACGAAGGAATTAATACAGTATGACATTATATCAGAATACAGCATGATAGGCGAGGAAACTTTGACCGTTTCACTTGATAATGATAACAATGAAGCAACAGCATGGTTTAAGCACTATGCAAAATTTCATCAATTCTTCAGATGAACACTGGCCTCAGAAATAGGGGATTATTCATGTCTGTCACATAGTTGATAGTTGCAGTAGTCTTTGAATGCAAGTCTTGTTTCTGTGACAACAATGCTGTTGTTGCGACGGAACTTTGGCGTGTCTATGGTAACAAGGCTGGAGTATCGCATGCATCATGAAATGTGTCAAGTTCTCTGTCATCGGTAAGCGATTGCCTGTCTGGTGTTTTTGTTGGGTTTCGAACTGCAGTGTACTTTTTCTTTGATTTTAAAGACAACTTGCCCAGTTCAGTCATGATCATTGCCTCCATGATGCCGTTGTCGGACTTGTCCTTGCCATGGCGGGGAGCCAGCATGAACCGCTTCTGCTTCTCCTTGTGGTGGTCTCGTACCTTCATCAGGAGGCAGACCAGAGGTCCCATGACCAACCAGAACCCGATGATTGACCCAACCACGATGCCAAATGTGGCACTAACGGACATTCCCCCGAAATCTGCTAAATTCTTTTTCTGTGTGATGGTTTTGACATCGGTGATCTTTGCTTGCATTCCGGTTGTCCCATTAGAACCAGCTGAAGCTGATCCTGTCATCTGGACATCACTGATGACTGGAGTAGCCTGAATCACCTGGGCCGGGTTGTCCTTCTTTGGTCTGTATTGATAGCCGTAATTATAATAGGGGTCATACACATCAGATACCATACTGGACATGTTGTGCACTTTGTAAGGACGGAGTTCTGAACCACTAGGCTGTAGGCCCTCATCAGCTTCATATTCGTTGCCATGGTCACCAAACTGACTTATGTTGACCGACGCCGACATCAGGTATTCATCAGCTTCATACTCGCCCTGCTCTTCCTGTTCCTCTCCCCCGGCCTCCTCCGCCTCCTCCGCCTCCTCAGCAGGCTCTGTGTAGTTCATGACGTCGGGGTACATGGACATGTTTTCAGGCAGCACTGAGTTCATGTAACCATAACGTAGACGGAGCATGTCTAACTTTTCCTCCAGCTCGTCATCTTTCTGTTCGGCTGGACTCTCATATTCAGTGCCACGTTGGTCAATAGTCACTGTTGGGATGATTTCACCGTAATACCCTAACTGTTGGTCCACTGGTTGATTCTGTATTTTTGATTCTGCAAGAGAAAATTTGAAGGTTAAAGCTGGTACTTTATTTTGCTGCAAACACATTTGAAAACTATTTATGATTCAGTAGCTATTACTTTTGTTGTAATTTTGTTGAATTCATAACCATTATAAAAAATTCTTATGAAAAGTTTATTGATCATAAACCCTATAGAAAAAATTCCATGTTTATGTTATGAAGATTTACTTTTGTCAATAGGTCTTCTATTGATGTATTTAAGAAAATCATCTTGTTTTGGCTTAATTTGTCTACCATCCTAAGGATATCTTAACCATTCTTGATTGTATTTAGACTGTAGGACAAGAGCCAGTTTCTAATGCTTGACTAAGTATCTGTGCGTCATTAGGTTTTCAGTCTCACTGCCATACAGTTCTATTCGTAAAGAAACAGAAAATTTGTTGTGAAACAGAAGAATAAAAGGAATTCTTGTCATGGCCTTTGCTATTCTGTAGGCCAGACATGTGAGGGGTTTTGACTTCTATATTCTAACATACAGTTGTCTGCCTGGAGACTAGGTGTGAGGACTTGTGGCCAAGTATTCCTGTTTGATGATGACACCTGGTAAACTGCCTGTAATCCCTGTTCCAATACAGCTAGAGCTGGATGGATGAAGGAGGCAGAGGAAGCACTGACAGGTGCCCCTTGTGTGTGATCAGCATGGTGTGACCTACACTCACATCAACACTGGGACACTTGGCAGCATAGGACATGAATGTAGGCAAAAGAAACAGTTTCATGGCTTCAGTGAATGCTAGCAATGGAAACGGTTTCATGGCTTCAATGAATGCAAGCAATTGAAACAGTTTCCTGGCTTCAATGAATGCAAGCAATGGAAACAGTTTCACAGCTTCAATGAATGCAAGCAGTGGAAACAGTTTCACGGCTTCAATGAATGCAAGTAGTGGAAACAGTTTCATGGCTTCAATGAATGCAAGTAATGGAAGCAGTTTCACGGCTTCAATGAATGCAAGCAGTCGAAACAGTTTCATGGCTATCAAAGACAGAGGTCACTCTCTGCACATTTTATATCCATGAAAGAGAGTTTTTGTGTCACTTTAATATGTGTTAAATAGATTGACCTTTGGTTTTACTTTCTTGAAATCATATTACATCATACATAGGTGTAGGTGCAGGCTTTAGTTTTCAAGGAACTGCATAGCATATGTTTAAGCCACCCATCTCTTTTCCCAAGGCCCTTCATTGTATTTAATTTTCCATATCTCAAACTGAAATTTGTGTTCAGTACATTGATAATTTTGAAACCTGGAACCGAACAAATGAGTGACTTTCACTTGAGTCACTGACAATCATTTCCTAGGAGTTGTTTGATGATAATGCTGAAAGGTCTGATGACCAAGACTTCAGCATGTTCTTAAATACATCAATCATAGGGCTAATTTATTTATTTATAAGACGATAATCAGTTGATTACCAGAGGATTTAAGGTCTTTTCAAAATACAGTAAACTATGTTTATAATGAATACGCTAATAACGAACTGACCGATATAACAAACTAATTTTTTAGTCCCGGACATTTGTTGTATCTATGCTGTATATGTGCTTATAACAAACTACAGTGATTACAAACAAAACTGATTGGTCCTTTTGAGTTTGTTTTGAATGTTGTTTACTGTACATGTAGTATAAAACAGAATTTTCTGAATTTTCGTATGAAGAAATACCCTTTCACAAATTCAGCTTATGGGTTGTGATATGAGAGCATGACTGTGGTTATATTTACCAGGAAGTGTGGGTAGGGGATCTGTTCCCTGTTGAGGTGAGCGAACAGGACGAGGATGGATGTCTGTCTTCATCTGCTCCTCCCCTGTCATAGGGGACATGATCCTGGACCTGTGTTTCCTTGTAACGTCTCCTCCCTGCAGAAGGGCACTGTGGGAGGGGACGTCTCCCCCTTGTGACGGTTTCCTTGTTCCCTCTGCTGGGTTTCCGGGAACACCCGACAAGCTGGGAACAATGTCCAGTTGTTCGGGGTTATCCTTTGAATGTTTGCTTGTCCTTGAATTCTTTCCTACATTTGTACCACTTGTAGCGGCTGAATGACACAGTGTAGGAATCAGGCATACAAGACACACTGTCACACACATATGAAACATCCTTAACACCTGGTGTCGGCTCATGGTAGCTGGTGTACAGAATCTGTTCAGTAAGTCCAACAGGCTGGCCCGTATACTGGATAGTAATATGACACAGTGAACTGTTCAAAATCTGTTCCTATTAGTCCAATTGCAAGTGTGTCGTCTGAGAGGATGTCGATAATATTCCAATAACTTCTGTCTAAAGAACCACACAGAACAGTAGTCTGTCCACAAGTGCACAAGAAACTGATGATTGATCCCAACACTGACCCCTTATGACCTATAAGTAGTTAAGCCAACTCGTACACCACAATGCATAAATCTGTCACTGTCTGTGCATCAAGATCGTTAGCGACACAACTTCAAGACAATATGGAAGTCACCATTTTCTCACCTGCTGAGTCAAACGCTTATTGACATCTGTGACAATGCAGTTAAGCGTGTCACGTTTCTTGTCGGTGACACCCATTGCGGTGATGTATGCTGTAACGAGTAGCCTATGATTGGCACTACCCATGCACACGTCATCATCACAGAGGGGCCCCCAGGGCACTGGGAGAAGCATCAGTCTTACTCAAACTGTCAATGTCTTGTATGAACATATTATCTTCATAATCATCATCTGTACAGGTCAGCCAGTGGGAAAGTTAATTGTCTCAGATGCAAATGAAGCTGTCCTGGATGTATTGAACACACTTCTGAAACAGAAACTTCACTGATTAATAGAACAGTTTTTTTCCATGTTTTGTTGGTTTCAGTCTGAAAAGTTCAAAGACATGTTTTTTCCCCCCAGATAGCACACAGAATGTATGTCAGTGTTTTTGATGATGACATTTATGGGTGTATCTTTCAAAAAGCATTTGATAGATCTAAACGTGGATTCAATTATTTTTATGTATATGTACTATCTTGACACTGATGGAAGATAACTAACTCCTTAAGAATATGGTAATTGTATAGGTTTTCATTTTATGCCAGACTTGTAATATTTCTTGGGGTTATTTTTCACAATCTATTTTAGTGGGGATAAAACAAAAAGGTAATTTCAGGCTTTTATATATATTCTTCAAAAGTTAATTTAATATTTTCCATGTGTGCAATGTTTGTTTACTACTTTCTTTGATCTTAAAGTTTAACATACAGAATGCACATTTATTTTTGGTCTCCATCCCCTTTGATGGAATAAATTACATGTATTAATAAATCATTATTCGTTGGAAACTTAACTTTTGTTCAGCTGTTGGTAAACTTTCTCGACTAACATTACTTCCAGATCAGAAATTTAGTTTTTGATACTTGATTTACCTAATGGGATATTTTTCACTTTAACAGAATTTTTTAATACTGATCAAATAGATTTTGAACTCATAATTTTTGTGCAACAATGGCCATTAAAGTTATCAAGTTGAATATGACAGTATGTTAACTTTCTTATTTGAGTTATGAGCATGTACAATGAAAGTTGGCCATGTGAATGAAATATGAATTATGAAATGTGCAAAATCATCTTGAAGACAGATGACACAGTGTCATCACTGATGACGGATGGGGAGGAGAAGACAATGGTGGCTTGCTGTGGCCACACTCATGTCTCCTGGGGGTGCAGCGGGTGATTGAGATTGAGTGACTGACAGGTCTGACTGCTGTGCCTGAGTCTCCACCCCCGGGGCGCGGTATGGGCAACTAATGTGTGTTAATGAGTATGTACTACCTGGCTGGTCAACACATTTCTTTTGTTCTTCATTGACTGCTTTGGGTGCTGGAGTAATTGTCTGAAAGGGCTTGGCAGTATAGGTATTATTTCCTGGAGTGGTTTGGTGGAATATAAACCAATCTCTTACTTTAAATATGAACCAAAGATCTAACCGAAAAGTAGAATCATGTTTGAATGAATAGGATGAAATAAAGTTACCTTGTGGTTCTACTTAGAGACATTTTTTCAACGAAAGAGTTTTGTCATGTTTACAAGAAGCACGTGGGGTGGTGGGTAGCCTAGTGGTTGAAGCATTAGCTTGTCACGCTGGAGTTCCTTGGGGTTCAAATCCCTCATGGGTATAATGTGTAGAGCCTGTTTCTTCTGTCCCCACCAGGATATTGAGAAAGTGGCAGAAAACCCGACTCACTCACTTACTCACTCTGAGGAGTGTAAGCAGGGTTTCCAGCGTTAGAAATTGGCACTAGTCCTGTAGTCCTTGCCAAACTGCCCAATAGTTAAGGTATCATATGGACACGTAGACATTTGCCATTTTTAAGGGTTTTGCTATATGTTATCATTATCATGAAAGGGCTTGGCAATATGGGTATTATTTCTTGTTTTGGTTTAATGGGACTTGCCAAACCAAAAAGTTAAGGTATCATATGGACAAGTAGACCATTTTTTTTTGGTTTTGCTATATGTTATCATCATCAGGACTAGTGGGCTAAAAATGTTAGTTTCTACTGCTGGGTTTCAATCCCTCTCACCCAAACCAACCACTTACTCACTCAAGAAACAAATAATCATGTATGAAGAATAAGTGAATGATAATGGTCTTACTTCTGAAGAATGGTGTGTAGGAAGAATTCACATCTTTCACAGAATATATTGATGATAACCCACAATACCACAGAGTAAGTGACCCATGAAGACCCGAGGTTAGAATAGGTCTTCAGCAACCCATGCTTGCCGTAAGAGGGTGGTCAGGCTCACTGCCTTGGTTGATGCATGTCATCGTATCCCAATTGCTTAGATTGATGCTCATGATGTCAATCACTGGATTGTCTGGTGCAGACTCGATTATTTACAGACCGCTGTCATGTCGCTGGAATATTGCTGAGTGCAGCGTTAAACAACAAACAAACATTCAAATAATAAGTTAATGTGTATCATGCAGTCAGGCTGCTGAACAAACAATGAATGCACAACATGCAACACATTTGTTACAAGTCCATTACGCACTTCATATTCACAAACAACCTTCAACATGTTTAACCCACTACAAGCATGCTGAACAGTATTTGCCAACATCAAGTAATATAGGTAAAGTCTTCTCTACAGAAACAGTTGACTGTATGGTGTCGGTTATGTTATATGGCAGGTCAAAGTCTTCAGATGGGATTTAGGACTGACAAGTCATTGGCCTTATTGAAAATCAGCACTGTTTTTTCATGAGTGGGTGACTTATGACTGAGATTATTGGTTTGCTCCTGGCATGCTGATGTTAATGTCAATATAGCTGACTACCAGGCACTGGTCTGGTGCAGGTCCGAGGAGGGAAGACAACTGTGGGCGAACCAGTTCACATGGTATCTGAAGACCCGTGAAGATCCGGGGTAGAATAGGTCATCAGCAACCCATGCTTGCCGTAAAAGGCGACTATGCTTGTCATAAGAGGCGACTAACGGGATCGGGTGGTCAGACTCGCTGACTTGGTTGATGCATGTCATCGTATACCAATTGGGTGGATTGATGCTCTAATGTCAATTACTGGATTGTCTGGTCCAGACTCGATTATTTACAGACCGCCGTCATATAGCTGGAACATTGCTGAGTGCGGCATTTAACAACATACAAATATTCCCCATAATGAATCATAAACAATGTTGCAACTTACAGTTCACACAGTCTTAAGAACTTGTACATATGTGCTTGCATTTTGCACATAACACATTGATATAAATCTGTTTGATCCAACAGAGGTAGCAGTTTTCACATAATGAATGAGAAACAATTTAATACAGTTCCCACAGTCTCTGAAGAACATGCACATGCATTTAATACATAACACATTGATATAAATCTGTTATCCAACAGAGGAAACAGTTTTACTTTAATGAATCGGAAATATTGTTGCAACTTACATGAGTGTAGGCAGTATTGCCTCAGTTCCTGCAGACCACACAGTAGTGTGTCCCACTTGGCTATATATGTGGCACTGGTGGAAGCGGCCTTATCTTGCCAGTGCCAGACTCTGTGAGTCATTCCCCCAAACACAGACTGCCTCTGTGTGGAGGCAGCAGCCATGGCGGCGGGGATTCCCCTTCTGGGGCCAGCGCTGCCGGCGCTTCATACAGTCACAGGGTATTACCCAACCGATAGTGCAATCATAAACATTCTGTATCAGATGACATTTGCCACTGATGCTTTGCACATTGTGCTGATATGATTTACTTATATTGTTCTGGAATAAGATGTTTGAGATGTGTGTCATGTGTTTTGGAAACAAAACCATTTTGTCAAAACAGGGCTATAAATTTAACTCATCAGAGGCATTGTCCTTAGGGAAAGAAAATTAGAACTCTTCATTTGCTTGATGAATTTTTCTTTGGATTTTGCATGCTTGATGATATGACAAGTTTTATATTACTTCTCCATAGTATGTTTTGAGTTTTTGAGAGTGAAGGCTGGCTTGTATGCAGTGACACTTAGTTGATACTTGGAAGTGAGGCTGTATGTAATATAAGCCTGTTATACCCCACCCATAGACGCTCGGTCTGGGGAGTCTCGGACGTATATGTCAGTTTTCCTCGGAGAAGGGGTTTACATGAGGGAGTAGGTTGTTCAAAGGGGGGGAGGTGTGTTGTCAGGGGGGTAGGGATGGGAGGGGGGTGTTTGAGACATATTTGTTTCACCAATTAGCTGTTGTCTTTTACCTGCGTGGGTAAAGTAGTTTGTGACATTTCTTTACGAAAGGTGAGCAAATAGGTCTGCAAAGTTCAGTGTTGATTGCTAGATGTTGACTGAGCTGAGTGTTCAAATTGAACATGAATGAAAATATATACATGGATGTAGCCGAATTTTGAGGGCCGGAATAAAGATTCCGTAGAAAGGATTTGGCTTATGTATAGGTAACACTTTTATCAAACTCTTTTTCTGTTGGTAAAAAAACTACATCGTATCACTTCATTTGAATGAACAATGCTATAACAAACTTTGTCAATGAAAATGGGAAATTTGCGATTGAACATCACTAGACATGATGATTTACCATTTCGATCGTATTTCTTGTTACGCTAGGCATTGTTTTATATGCAAGGATAAAGATTATCGTGTGTATTTTCTCGTGAACTAAGCCGGAAATAGCAATCAGCTGTACACACGGGTCACCCAATCTACCGGTGATTTCGTTAAAACATACCCAATAATATAACGGAAAAGCATTTTGATGAAATGATCGGGGAAAATATATCTATTTATTCTGATATCGTGTTATTTTAATTGAGCTCGGCTTATCTGCAGTTATATACAGTATTCAATGCAATAAAGGACATACTGACAGATATCCACAGTTGTTTAAGTGTCAGGCATAGAGACAAGTTAAAAGATTTCTCCTGTCAATTCTCCTCATATTGGAAATAGTTTTGTCTGATCATAAACATGGTTGTACGTTTTGCTCATTAGTGGTTAAAACAACCTTAAATGTCTCAAAGTGAATTACAACAGATATTATCAGTATTATCATGGGGAGAAGTGTCTGTGTGTCACCATTTCCCCGGGATCGCTGACTTGGTTGATGCATGTCCTCATATCCCAATTGCGTTGATCGATGATCATGATGTCAATCACTGGATTGTATGGTCCAGACTCGGTTGGTACAGCTGGAATATTACTGAGTGCAGCATAAACAACAAACAAACAAACAAAGACTGCTTCATGTGGAAGCAGGACTGTGAGTTTGAGCTGTTTGGCCAATCTGACAATAACACTTGTGTTTCCAGGTGTCGGGTGAGAAGGTCAGCAAGTTGTCCCTGGTGGATCTGGCAGGGAGTGAGCGGGCCCAGAAGACAGGAGCAGTCGGGGAGAGGCTCAAGGAGGGCAGCAACATCAACAAGTAAGTTCATTTGTCCTTGGGATAAAGGTGTCAGACTGATGTAGGTGTCAGACTGGACGTAGGTGTTGGGACAAGGACTGATGTAGGTGTTGGGACAAGGACTGATGAAGGTGTTGGGACATGGACTGATGTAGGTGTCGGACTAGACGTAGGTGTTGGGACAAGGACTGATGTAGGTGTTGGGACAAGGACTGATGAAGGTGTTGGGACAAGGACTGATGAAGGTGTTGGGACAAGGACTGATGAAGGTGTTGGGACAATGACTGATGTAGGTGTTGGGACAAGGACTGATGTAGGTGTCGGACTGGACGTAGGTGTTGGGACAAGGACTGATGTAGGTGTTGGGACAAGGACTGATGAAGGTGTTGGGACAAGACTGATGTAGGTGTTGGGACAAGGACTGATGTAGGTGTTGGGACAAGGACTGATGTAGGTGTTGGGACAAGGACTGATGAAGGTGTTGGGACAAGGACTGATGAAGGTGTTGGGACAAGGACTGATGAAGGTGTTGGGACATGGACGGATGAAGGTGTCGGGACAAGGACTGATGTAGGTGTTGGGACAAGGATTGATGGTGTTGGGACAAGGACTGATGTAGGTGTCGGGACAAGGACTGATGAAGGTGTTGGGACAAGGACTGATGAAGGTGTCGGGACAAGGACGGATGAAGGTTTCGGGACAAGGACTGATGATGGTGTTAGCCTCAGAACTTGTGTTAGTACTGCTATTAGGACTGCACATAAATGTTGGCCAACAGACTGTAGTAATTTGCAATGTTCAATGTAGATGTCATTACAAGGACTAATTGTATGTGTTAGGACAAAGGTAGGTGTCATAAGTACTTGACTTGTCAGTAAAACTAATCAACTAACCATTTATCAGTGTTATGTATTTATCAGGTGTATTTCGCCTACGGCTGTGACATCAGTTGTTTGAAGCTCTCATAAAATACCTTCTAGTCAATATCAGTAGTGCTTGCAGGCATTATGGCATGTTTTGTTCAGATCAATATTGCCATTTGATAAGAGGTGAAAACATGGGCACTCTTGTTCTTGAATTTAAACATTACATGTTTTGTGATAAGAGTTTCTGTAAACTAATCACATGTGCCAAACACTTACAGTAATGTGATGAACAAGGGGAATATAACCATCCATATGAATTGAAAGCCTTGCCCATCATAGTTATCTCGATATTCATTTGCCTGTACTGCATATCCCTTGTTATATGTGTTTGGGGCGAGGTATGATGCGTCATTAAAGACGTTTCAGCCATGACATTCGTGTAGCGTCTGTGGAAACGCTGCAGTGTGTATGGAGCTCAGTCAGCAACTATCACACTATACCTTCAATTGTCAGGTGATCTAGTAGTCACAAGCATAATATATATTCTCTGCTGAACATTAATTAGCCCTTTATTTATTTCATATTAGAAAATGTTAAAATTAATTTCTGATTTTGCTCATGTGTTGTGACTCGTAAAAAAATTGCATGGAAACACGTACCATAACAGAAATTGAACTAGTCACAAAATTAGTGTCCACGTGAGTCTTGCTCTTGCCCTTAGAAGTTTTTACTAGCCCCAGTCTGGCTGGTAGCACTACTTTCTAAGGCTGTGTTGACGTTCCTTCCAGGTCTCTGACCACTCTTGGCCTTGTCATCTCAGCGTTAGCAGACGCAGCGGCTGGGAAAAACAAGAACAAGTTCGTCCCATACCGGGACTCTGTCCTGACATGGCTTTTGAAGGTAAGAAGCACATGGCCATCTTTGTTATGTGATGCTACTAAACAAGAACAAGTGTCAGGTTTCACACATGAATTGCACATTGTCAATAAATACAGAGAATAATTTCAATGAAGTTGTAAGACTCAGATGATTGCTTGTGGTCTTACCCGATGGCTTGGGATTATGTCAAGTTTGACTTCTACCATGTATAGTGTAGGACCAGAATACAATTTCTTGGAGAGCAGTTTTAAGCTTGATGGTTGACAACAACCTGTTTTCCTAATTTTTGGGGACATACATACATTTTATTAAAAAAATTGTGTTCCCTTATATCTGTCAAAATTCAATAGATATTCCTTCCGTGCTGTACCAGTTGCCCACATCATGATGTTCTCAGTACTCTGAGGGGCGGTCGGGTAGCCTAGTGGTTAAAGCGTTCACTCGTCACGCCGAAGACCCGGGTTCGATTCCCAACATGGGTACAATGTGTGAAGCCCATTTGTGGTGTCCCCCGCTGTGATATTGCTGGAATATTGCTAAAAGCGGCGTAAAACCTCACTCACTCACTCACTCACTCACTCACTCACTCACTCACTCACTCACTCACTCACTCACTCACTCACTCACTCAGTACTCTGGTGCCCTCACTAGGCCCATCATACTCACTCATGGCCACCTTCGTGGTCTAGTGCATGTACATCGCTATGTAAGTGCAATAATCTTGGAAATTAATGTCACATCAACATAATCAAGTACAGTGAATTCCTGGTTCAGGATCGACTGCAACAATATCGTGACATAATCATAGTTGTTTTTGTTATGATATTTCAACGGAAATGTTTGACATGCTCTTGAAGAGCTCCTGTATCATGATTACAGGGAAAATGTGTACAGGAAACAGCTTGTCACAAATATCCTAAAGAAAGTGAGATGACAGAGAAATATTAGCCCAGGTAAAGAGTCTCAGCGTGAGGTGTCATGGCGCACCTGGCTGTAATGGCAGCTGATGGATCCATCGCTCACTCTGCCTTCCAACAACATGGGGCAGCAGAAAATCTGGCCTGTCAGAATAGCATGGTTCTATGTCACAAAATTTGCTGTGATTACTAATCAACATGAAACTCTTTTTCTTCAAAATAGTTTTAAATATTTTTTAATTCAATTTAGGGTATGATGTTACATAGTTATACATAGAGTAGCACGACATGTGGTATACTTATTAGGTGTAGGTTACATACCTTTACAGCAGACAGCAAATTTCAGTTGGCTACAGGTGTACGACAATGTTAACAAATGGTGAAACGAGCAGGCTATATTTGCCTTGCTTATTTACTAAGTGTAAAGCTAAATCCTTACAGCACAGGGGCGGTCGGGTAGCCTAGTGGTTTAAGCGTTCCCCCGTCATGCCGAAGATCCGGGTTCGATTCCCGACATGGGTACAATGTGTGAAGCCCATTTCTGGTGTCCCCCGCTCTGATATTGCTGGAATATTGCTAAAAGCGGCGTAAAACCATACTCACGCACTCCCCTTACAGCATATTAGTGGAAATTGTTCATGTAACATGAAACATTATTTGAGATAAACTTGAAATGGGAGTTCACAAGAATAATTTCATCAGGGTTGTCATCTCATGGAAGTACTTCCTGTTCTGTAGATTAAGCCTCGATCCCTTACAGGAAGATACACCATATTAGACTTAACAAAATTCTATCTATGTCTGACATGTAATATTGTAATATGTGATCATGTATCTGACACAGTAAGCCTCTTATCTGGCCATTATTCGTATCACCCATTGTCGTTGACTTTGTTGGATGGAATGCGTTATTTGAATTTTGTTCCACAAAAAGTTCAGATGCAGGTGGCTAGACTGACTTGTTAGAAATTTGCTGGGCCATCATAACTCCCACGCTATATAATTTGGTGAAAATGGAACGGTCGGTGAAATTGCTGCATTATTGTAATCAGTATTTGATTTCAGTAGCATCCTCGGATCCCCTCTCCCTCTCTCTCTGTCTCTCCCTCTCTCTCTCTGTCCTCTCTCTCTGTGTATATATATTCACTATATACACTTGTCAAATGTGATATTATAATGTGACATTAAACTGCATTAAGTAATTGCTGCACTCAAATAACATTATTCAATTTCTTGATAAATTACAGGCATTATAATCTACCAATGCAGTTTGTCAGTCTGTGTTCTTCACTCAAAGCACTTCATCTAACATCCAGACAATGAAATGACTTGGCTCAAAGTGTAAGGGAGACAACTCTATTTACCCTACGATTATTGCTGATTAAAATCCTTTTTAAGTGTCACCTTTACCCCTATGGGCGATTTATTAGGTCGCAGGCATCTGTTTGAGGATTCTGTGCTGGGATACAGACAAATTTTGTTAAAGATGAGAACGTTAATCTAAATAATGATAGGTCTTTAAAAGAGTGTCCATGGAGACGTTGTTGATTTGATTCTGAGGCTGTCTAGACTCTATCATGATGAGTGACAATCAGATTCTGTCTTTCTTCCACAAATGGTGGAAGCCAGATACACTGAGTCGATACTCTATCCATGAAGGAGGTATTATGCTTAGAGAAAATCCAGCAGATCTCTTAGTACATACACCATCTTGTCCTGTAGAGAGGGAAGATGTGGGACTTTTCACAACAGCAAATTGAGTTTTCAAACTTGACATGTCAGTTAACACTGATTGTTTTCTCAAGTGTAGGAGTAAAATTCAAAAGGTTTTCTTCTTTATTAATACTTTTGATTTAAAGAATTTGTTTGTGACAGTGTTTCTTGTGCCCACCTAAGACATGTTTTTTCTTAACATTAAGGTTATAACAAGGACTGCTTGACTTTAATTTGACTTATTTTTCAACTCTGCTTTTTTGTTTGAGTCGGGTGGGTGCTAAGTAGGACCCGGGTACTCACAGGACTACCCGGACCCGTGGTTAGTCACGTGATATATTGTTTAATGACAAAAAGTATCTGGAACTCTATGGTTACACTACAAGTCACTAATGTTTGCATTGTTTTCTGACTATGCACCCATTCCTTATGATTTTTCATATGGTTGAATAAGGATATAACTTAATTATCCCCCACCCAACAAAGTTGTGTTAAAAAGGTTAAGGTTTGTTTAGATTTAATTATATCATAAATTCTGCAACAGGGGCGGGGGATAAAGCCACGTTAGTGGCAAACTTTTGTTCAACTTCAGTGTATGCATGACCAGATTGTTTAATACATATATCTAAATACGTTTTGCCAGGGCTATGCTAAAAATGTTCCCAATCGGACATTTTGAGACTTCTCCTGAGACCTACAGTGGGTTCCCCGGTAGGGTCGGGTAATAGGGGGGTGATGACACCTAGGATTTGTTCAAGAAGTCCAATATGGTCGTCAGTCAGCCATCTTGAAAAAACAGTTTATGGCCATTACCCAGCTATGTTTTCTTGGTTTGTTTTTTCAGAAATGACTGAAATTTGGTACATTTGAAGTTCAACACATATGTTCTGTTTTTCTCAATTTCAACCTTTATTTCATCTTTCCACTTTGACCATACTTTTAAATTCTCTCAGGATGCATTACCTTGCACTGTAAGCATCATTTCCTGAGAAACCACTGGACCAATGAAGCTGAAATTTCACATGTCTGTTCCCACCAATGATGTTGCTCCAATTTGTTCAAGAGGTTCAAATCTGATTTTCAATATGGCTGACAAAGCAGCCATTTTTTAAAATCTATTTGTGGCCATTACTCTGCCATTTCTATTCAAAACAGAACATAGCCATTAAGATCCAGGTTAGAATACGTCTTCAGCAACCAATGCTTTTTGCCTGTATCTTTCTCCTTATGATGACATCATATGTTTCAAATCACTTGTATTTTTGTTTTTTGTCCTCAGTAGTTAGAATATCAATATTGACAGCAACTCTTTTTTTAAATATCTGCTGTTATTGACATTTTAGAAACTGTTTACTACATATCCAGAGGGACTACAGTGATGTGGCACTGTATTTTTTATTATAATTTGCTCCTGAAAATAATAGAAAACAAATTTTCTATGTGAAGCTTAGATTTAAATTAGTTTCACAAGTGATACATTGGGATTACTATTCATGAGATTCAAACAATATCAAGCTGACCAGCAAGCACAGTCGGCTTGGGACTGACCCTGGGAGCACTGTTTCAAGACATACTGATACATTTGTTTTCTCAGAAAAGTTCAGAAAAAATCTTTATCTATTTCACGTTACATGTTTTTCAGGTTGTCCAGCATGTCAGGTTAACAAGATTAGCATCTTGAGGCAAATGATTATTCATGAAAATAAATGAGATTCCAAGCAACTAGTCTGTATAATGATTTTCTTGCACGGCAAAAACATCTGAATCATAAAAAGATGTAGTGTTTTTATAATATCTTTTTTCATTGTCATTGCATAAGGGATAGGAAAGGAAAAAACAAATTCTAAAATGTGCATCCTGATATAGGATCTGTAAAGTGTAGGCTTATGATCTCAGCCTAATGGAAACTGACATGAAATGAATATCTGCTGATATATTCCTTTTTTGTCAAGAGTATAAGCAGATTTTGACACTTACCAAATGCGACCTCTTTTATTTGTACAGAGAATTATATATAATGATATGCGCTTTTGGCAAAGGTAGTTAATGAGTTTCTTAAAGGGATATATAATATTTTGAAGATGTGTAATAGATTTGCTTGAGGACATGCTCACTTGGGTTTCCATGAAGATATTAAGGCATGCTGACAATGTGCTTACGGTGGTTTAAAGGGATGTGGAGATAATTGGCATGCTGATTCTATTTTGGTAGAGAGAATAATATTCTACATTCAAGGGTTACAATATATATATTTAGTACTTTGCTGCTTTGGGGTAAATTATTTGAAAGCAAAGTTTTACCTGCAGAGGATTACGGTCTTTTATAGGTTATGTAATCAGTTGGCAGGAATACACTGTCAGCCCAAGTTAGTTGGTAGCAACGCACTGTTCATCTGAACCCATTGGCAGGAATACACTGCCAGTCTAAACCAGTTGGCAGGAATACGGTGCCAGTCTAAACCAGTTGGCAGGAATACGCTGCCAGTCTAAACCAGTTTGCAGGAATACACTGCCAGTCTAAACCAGTTGGCAGGAATACGCTGCCAGTCTAAACCAGTTTGCAGGAATACACTGTCAGTCTAAACCAGTTGGCAGGAATACACTGCCAGTCTAAACCAGTTGGCAGGAATACACTGCCAGTCCAAATTAGTTGGTAGCAATTAACACAATATACATCTGAGCCAGTTGGCAGGAATACACTGTCAGTCCAAACCAGTTGGTAGCAACACATTGTACATCAAAACCAGTTGGCAGGAATACACTGCCATTCCAAACCAGTTGGCTGAAAAGCACTGTCAGTCCAAATTAGTTGGTAGCAACACACTGTTTATCTGAACCCGTTGGCAGGAATACACTGCCAGTCTAAACCAGTTGGCAGGAATACACTGTCAGTCCAAACCAGTTGGTAGCAACACATTATCTAAACCAGTTGGCAGGAATACACTGCCATTCCAAACCAGTTGGCGGGAATACACTGTCAGTCCAAATTAGTTGGTAGCAACACACTGTTTATCTGAACACATTGGTAGGAATACACTGCCAGTCTAAACCAGTTGGCAGGAATACACTGCCAGTCTAAACCGGTTGGCAGGAATACACTGTCAGTCCAAACCAGTTGGTAGCAACACACTGTACATCTAAACCAGTTGGCAGGAATACACTGTCAGTCCAAACCATGCAGCAGCAATACAACTGAGAGTTTTCTGTTTCCTATTTTCAGGACAACCTGGGAGGCAACTCCAAGACTGTGATGGTGGCAACCATCAGTCCAGCTGCAGACAACTACGAAGAAACATTGTCCACGCTGCGCTACGCCGACCGTGCCAAGAGGATTGTCAACCATGCTGTCATCAATGAGGATCCAAATGCACGAATTATCCGAGAACTTCGTGAGGAGGTCGAGACATTAGTGAAGCAGCTCAATGAGGCACAGGTGAGTTCATGCACGTGGGAGATTATCCACACTGAGTGCGGTTTTACACCACTTTTAGCAGTGTTCCAGCAATATCCAAGTCGGGAATCGACCCCGGTTCTTCGACTGGATGAGCGACCACTTTAACCACTAGGCTATCCACAATGTGGAACAGGTGAGTTTATGTATAGGGGAGATAATCAACAATGAGGCACAGGTGATGTGATCCATAGGGGAGATAATCAACAATGAGGCACAGGTGATGTGATCTATTGGGGAGATAATCTACAATGAGGCACAAGTGATGTGATCTTTAGGGGAGATAATCCACAATGAGGCACAAGTGATGTGATCTATAGGGGAGATAATCTACAATGAGGCACGGGTGATGTGATCTATTGGGGAGATAATCTACAATGAGGCACAAGTGATGTGATCCATAGGGGGGATAATCTACAATGTGGCACGGGTGATGTGATCTATAGGGGAGATAATCCACAATGAGGCACAAGTGATGTGATCTATTGGGGAGATAATCTACAATGAGGCACAAGTGATGTGATCTATTGGGGAGATAATCTACAATGTGGCACAGGTGATGTGATCCATAGGGGAGATAATCTACAATGTGGCACAAGTGATGTGATCTTTAGGGGAGATAATCCACAATGAGGAACAAGTGATGTGATCTATTGGGGAGATAATCTACAATGTGGCACAGGTGATGTGATCCATAGGGGAGATAATCTACAATGAGGCACAAGTGATGTGATCTATAGGGGAGATAATCCACAATGAGGCACAAGTGATGTGATCTATTGGGGAGATAATCTACAATGAGGCACAAGTGATGTGATCTATTGGGGAGATAATCTACAATGTGGCACAAGTGATGTGATCCATAGGGGAGATAATCTACAATGTGGCACAAGTGATGTGATCTATTGGGGAGATAATCTACAATGTGGCACAGGTGATGTGATCCATAGGGGAGATAATCTACAATGTGGCACAAGTGATGTGATCTTTAGGGGAGATAATCCACAATGAGGAACAAGTGATGTGATCTATTGGGGAGATAATCTACAATGTGGCACAGGTGATGTGATCCATAGGGGAGATAATCTACAATGAGGCACAAGTGATGTGATCTATAGGGGAGATAATCCACAATGAGGCACAAGTGATGTGATCTATTGGGGAGATAATCTACAATGAGGCACAAGTGATGTGATCTATTGGGGAGATAATCTACAATGTGGCACAAGTGATGTGATCCATAGGGGAGATAATCTACAATGTGGCACAAGTGATGTGATCTTCAGGGGAGATAATCCACAATGAGGCACAAGTGATGTGATCTATTGGGGAGATAATCAACAATGAGGCACAAGTGATGTGATCTATTGGGGAGATAATCTACAATGAGGCACAAGTGATGTGATCCATAGGGGAGATAATCTACAATGTGGCACAAGTGATGTGATCTTCAGGGGAGATAATCCACAATGAGGCACAAGTGATGTGATCTATAGGGGAGATAATCTACAATGAGGCACAAGTGATGTGATCTATTGGGGAGATAATCTACAATGTGGCACAGGTGATGTGATCCATAGGGGAGATAATCTACAATGAGGCACAAGTGATGTGATCTATAGGGGAGATAATCCACAATGAGGCACAAGTGATGTGATCTATAGGGGAGATAATCCACAATGAGGTACAGGTGATGTGATCTATTGGGGAGATAATCTACAATGAGGCACAAGTGATGTGATCTATTGGGGAGATAATCTACAATGAGGCACAAGTGATGTGATCCATAGGGGAGATAATCTACAATGTGGCACGGGTGATGTGATCTATTGGGGAGATAATCTACAATGAGGCACAAGTGATGTGATCTTTAGGGGAGATAATCCACAATGAGGCACAAGTGATGTGATCTATAGGGGAGATAATCTACAATGAGGCACAAGTGATGTGATCTATTGGGGAGATAATCTACAATGTGGCACAAGTGATGTGATCTATAGGGGAGATAATCTACAATGAGGCACAAGTGATGTGATCTATAGGGGAGATAATCCACAATGAGGCACAAGTGATGTGATCTATAGGGGAGATAATTCAAGATGTTGCACGGGTGATGTGATCCATAGGGGAGATAATTCAAGATGAGGCACAGGTGAGTAGATTAACTCTGTATGTGGAAGATGCACACAAATGCCCAATAAGGTAGGGGTGAGATAATGCAGTAGTGACCCCATCTTCCTAAGGCAAGAGAGTTAACTGACTTTAAAAGTCCAGTTTCCACCTTTGCCGAACTAGGCTGGAATTCCTCGGCTCTAACGTAGCACCACAAGTGGCTATTACGAGTTGTGTCCCTTCTAAGCCTCTCCTTTAGACCAATCAGATTCTACCTCTTGTATCAATTGCATTTGCTTCAAACAAAACAGTGTTGCCCAGTCAAGACGATCTGATCGATAATCAAGGTCTATGTTGTGATAAAACAGGTCTTTCATTGCGCAATGCGTGAGCACCTTGATTAAAAACATGAACAGATTTGGGAAATATCTGTTGACAACGAGTTGGCGGTGCATATGCTTTGCAAATCCTGCAATCGACGAAAATCTGCACGACAGTTTACGAACCGGATTTCGATTTCGTTGCACGCTTTTGATTGGACTATGCATAGACTCGTTAGTCCAGCCAAAATGTAACTCCATAATACCAGCCTAGTTCGGCAAGGGTGGAAACTGAACTTTTATAGTCAGTTAACTCCCTTGCCTTGGGAAGATGTCGTGACCCAGGACTGATTTATGTATGAGAGATATTGGTGACATAGTGTCGAACGGCGCATGTGAGATATTCCATGTTACATAATTAATGCAAGTCAAGGCACATGCAGTATGCACAATGAGGCACATGAAATAATTGATGTACAATGAATTAGGTGAGACAATTAAAGCATGCGGAGACAAAGGAATTGATGCACAGGTGTTTATTCAAGAGGAGGAAGGTTCACGCTCTGTTTTATGAGTGTTACGATTAATGATGCCTTGGATACTCTATTGTAAGTGAATAAATGCTCAGGTTCTGTCATTGTACCCCAAACAATGTGGATTGTTGCTCTTGCTCTCAGCCACTTGGTTACCTGGCTCGCTCACTCACTCACTCACTCACTCACTCACTCACTCACTCACTCACTCACTCACTCACTCACTCACTCACTCACTCACTCACTCACTCTCACTCACTCACTCACTCACTCACTCACTCACTCACTCTTCACTTCGCTCAGCTATGCTGCTGGAGGAACTGGGTTAACATGAGTGGAGGCTGACTTATGTTGCGTGTATTTCAGCATCTTGTGTTGAAGATATGACATGTATTCCTGCATCTTTATGGGAATTTGTTTGTATGGGGATATTGAGGTTGATCAATATGCCACTCGCACAATCACAACAGGCTGTTTATATGCTATAACTGTCTTGTATTGGATGCTTGTAGAACATGCGAGCCCCGGACCTGAAGGATCGTCTAGAGGAATCTGAGAAGTTGATGAAGGAGATGAGCAAAACATGGGAGGAGAAGCTGGCTGAAACAGAACGTATACACCAGGTGGGTAGATACATAACGTATGTACCAGGTGGGTAGATACATAACGTATGTACCAGGTGGGTAGATACATAACATTTGTACTAGGTGGGTAGATACAGAACGTATGTACTAGGTGGGTAGATACATAACATTTGTACTAGGTGGGTAGATACATAACGTATATACTAGGTGGGTAGATACATAACGTATATACTAGGTGGGTAGATACATAACATTTGTACCAGGCGGGTAGATACACCGGGTGGGTAGATACAGAACACACACACATCAGGTGGGTAGATACAGAACAAACACACGTCAGGTGGGTAGATACAGAACATGTATACATCAGGTGAGTAGATATAGAACATGTCACATCAGGTGGGTAGATATAGAACATGTATACATCAGGTGGGTAGATACAGAATATGTATACATCAGGTGAGTAGATATAGAACATGTCACATCAGGTGGGTAGATATAGAACATGTATACATCAGGTAGGTAGATACAGAACATGTATACATCAGGTGGGTAGATACAGAATATGTATACATCAGGTGAGTAGATATAGAACATGTCACATCAGGTGGGTAGATACAGAACATGTCACATCAGGTGGGTAGATACAGAACATGTATACGCCAGGTGAGTAGATATAGGACATGTATACATCAGGTGGGTAGATACAGAACATGTCACATCAGGTGGGTAGATAAAGAATATGTACACATCAGGTGGGTAGATACAGAACATGTACACACCAGGTGGGTAGATACAGAACATGTACACACCAGGTGGGTAGATACAGAACATGTTACTTTTGGGTTTTATATGCAGATTTTGTACAGTCGTTGGTTTGCTAGAATTTGGGTGGCAAGTGTGACAATACTGCTGTCTCTGCTCTACAGGATCGCCACAAGGCACTGGAACAAATGGGCATCTCTGTTGAGACGTCTGGCATCAAGGTGGAACATGAAGGGGCATTCCTTGTCAACCTTAATGCTGACCCGTCCCTCAATGAGCTGCTTGTCTATTACCTCAAGGTAGGCGCTGGCTGTTACTTTCTGCTTCCATCTTCTTCAATTGATGTCACTCAATGACAGGCAGAAGCAGAGTATGGCATCTCTGTCTATGGAATATTTTGATTTCCTTCAGAGTCAAGTACATTCAATATTTAGGGTTATGCCCTATGTACATGATCACGTAATGAATTTTTTTATGTCACCAGTTTATTTCAGCATCAAGGTTGTTTCAAATTGTTTGTGTTGTCTGAGAGTGGTGGAAACATCTGTAGATCATGTTTGTGTTGTCCCAGACATGAACAAGATTGGATTTTGTCTCCCTGAGAATAGTGCAGTAGAAGTCACAAGATTGTGTAATCAGATCAGCAGCCCTTCATGGGATGGAAGTCAGACAGGAGGCACAGAGCAGGCAGTGGTGGTATTAATTGTTGGCATCACAAGGAAATCAGGAAGTCGGATGCAATTTTAGTGCTGTATTTGGGTGAGAAGCCCTAGATGTTGAGAAAGACAGCATCACGTATAAGACATACTCAATATTTGTTTATTTACACTTGGTTATGTGGTGTTGCATTACTTGAGGGAACACAGACTGTTTCAGTGGTTTGCAACAGGATCCAGGGGATCCAAGTGTTTTGAGATAGGATCCATGTGTTTTGTGACAGGATCCAAGTGGTTTTGCATTAAGATACAAGTGATTTGAAGCATGATCCAAGTGTTTTGTGAGAGGATCCACATGGTTTACAACAAGAACCAAATGTTAGGCAACAGGATCTATATGTTGTGCAACATTATCCGAGTGGTTTGCAACGGGATCCAAGTGACCCAAATGGTTTGCAACAGGATCCACATTTATTGCCACAGTATCCAAGTGGATTGCAACAGGATGCACATGGTTTGCAACAGGTTCCAAGTGGTTTGCAACAGAATCCACATGAATTGCAACATAATCCAAGTGATTTGCAACAGAATCCAAGTGGATTGCATCAAGATCCAAGTGGTTTGCAATGGAAACCACATGGATTGCAACATGATCCAAGAATCCTATAGCACAACAACATGATCCAGCTGAATCTAGTATGTTGAAGATCCTTGTACCTTATAGCATCAAGGATTGGTATCTGCTCCATATGGGGGCAGTGTGGTAGCCTAGTGGTTAAAGCATTCGCTCATCAAACCGAAGTCCCTGGTTTGATTCCCCACATGGGTACATTGTGTGAAGTCCCTTTCTGGTGTCCCCCGCGGTGATATTGCTGGAATATTGCTAAAAGCAGAGCAAAACACTACTCACTCACTCTGCTCCATATGGTTATTTTCATAATGAGGCCATATTGCTGTCTTTGTTGGGCAGTGAAATTGTTTTAATGATAAAGTAGTAAGGAAGCAGATGTTTTCTTTCTATTACAATTCCAAATTTTCCTGCAAATGTAAGAATGACATTTTATCAAGACCGGGTATGGCACTCTTTCTGTTCTCTTCCTGGATGATATCAATGTGCATGTTCTGTTGTGGAGACTTGGGTCTGGGGCTCCCTGCAAAGCTGTACACACATGTAATCCTCAAAGAGCCCTGACTTAAACAGAAGGTTTTTGTCACCATGACGGATGGTAAGCCTAACACAAGACCAGCGCAACTCTCCATGGAGCGAGCACTTCTCCATGATAGACGGTCACCCCTGAAGAAAGGCCCATTTCAATGTCATGTCAGAAGATACTCCATCCCCACCATGACCTACTTTGCTGGATGTTGTCAGGACAGAAAAAATTAATGTCCTGTCCGTGTTATCTATTTTTTTTATTTGGCTTTGAAATGATGTTTATCTCTCTGTTTTTGAAAGTAATGGTTTCTGGGGATTCGTTGGCAGGATGTTAATTCAGTATGGAATTTGTTTCTCGGGAATACATTTTCTGAAGAAGGAAGAATGTTTTCTAAAATTGTATTCCTCTGTACTTATTTCACATCCAGCAATGTTTGGTTGTCTTTTTTCAAGATGCCGTGAAATAAATTCTTTTTCATACCATGATGAAAAGTTCACAAGACGTGTTATGTGTGCAGGGCATATCAAATAATGATATCATCAGTGATGTATTTAATTATTCATAATGCCAGCTCCTGCATTGGTGAGAGATAAGGTTCTGAGAACCATGGTTTCAAACCATATTAAACAGTCTAACAAGGTATGAACAATATAGTGATTCCATCCTTGAAAGCAGATGGTTTGAACTGAATATTCCTCATGTTGACATTTAACCTTCAAATATTTACCCTACAACTGCTACATTGCATGGCTGCTGCGGAGGTATTACTCTGTATCGCTGCCTGTTTAATCCCATCCTTCAGTAATTGGATCCTCTCATGTCTTCTGTAAGCTTATATTTCATGCTGGGAAATACACGGCCATGTCCTAATAAAGTCATAATAATTAGGTGTGCGTTATCACGTGAAAATGACCAGTTTTTATTCCACTTTGGATTTTTATATCAAGGCACACATATTTGCCACTGCATCAGCAGCTGAAAACATCCAAGAGGACCCAATTATAGAAATGAAGTGAGACTCTGTTTTCTCTCCATGCTGGCCTTTCCTGGGCTTGCGTGATGAACTTAGTCAGAGGACTTTGATCATTTCGTAATTATCAGAAGTGAAAAAAAAAAAAGAATATCATCATCTCAATCATAAAAAGTACAGATGCATGTTGAAGAAATGACTAATGGGATATTTATAGTTTCCTTTGAATTTCACATTCTACATGAACTAAATTCCTGTTTCTTGTCGGGGAGTTTAAGTGATTATACAAGAGATTAGCCCAATCAGATGTTGAAGGTTTCACCAGGAAATGTTTTGGCATTTGATTGATTAGTAGATTGGGTAGCTGGGATATTCTGATGCATTTTCAGTGTGCTGAGATAGCCTTCAATGTGAATAGAGTTTACTTTTTCAAGGTGAGTTCTGGTACAAATCGTGTGCTATTAAGTTTAAAGGGGGCCTTGGATGTTCAATTGGAGACAAAGGTTCTAAGTCCTCAAGTCGGAAGATATTCTTGCCCTCAGAGGTCGGAATTCATGGAAATGTATTCACGATATTATCACGTGAAGTGTTTTAACCTCGATTCCATAACAAACCTCATTCATGGATAATGACCATACTAGAGCCTTGACGTGAATTATTGATTTTAATGTCCTAGCTGCTCCTTGTGTAAAGTTCCTGATCACTTGAAGTAAATAATGAATATTGCAGTCGGATTTTAATTTCTTTGTAATTCATTTTAATCAAGTTAGGGTGATCAATATCGAAGTGTCTTAATGTAATCATGATTCATAGCTGTTTTTATTTACCTGAAAAAGATAGTTTCTTCCCATAGTGATCAATGAATTTCTTTTCTGTTATTGATATCTGATGCACCTGGTATTCTTGTTGTATTTGATTTCTTCTGTTTTTTCACCTGCAATCAACAAGCCATTGTGAAATATTGGGCAAATGAGGTTTTAAGCTAAAGTCTGCAGTGGTTAAGTTCATCAAGAAGAGTGTAGCTTCACCTTTTGATCTCTAAGCGTAGCTTCATCACATGATCTCTCAGCGCAGCGCAACTCATGATCCCAAAGTGTAGCTTCATCACATGATCCCAAAGGGTAGCTTCATCACATGATCCCAAAGGGTAGCTTCATCACATGATCTCAAAGGGTAGCCTTATCACATGATCTCAAAGGGTAGCTTCATCACATGATCCCAAAGTGTAGCTTCATCACATGATCCCAAAGTGTAGCTTCATCACATGATCCCAAAGTGTAGCTTCATCACATGATCTCAAAGGGTAGCTTCATCACATGATCTCTCAGCGCAGCGCAACTCATGATCCCAAAGTGTAGCTTCATCACATGATCCCAAAGCGTTGCCTCATCACATGGTCCCAAAGGGTAGCTTCATCACATGATCTCAAAGGGTAGCTTCATCACATGATCTCAAAGGGTAGCCTTATCACATGATCTCAAAGGGTAGCTTCATCACATGATCCCAAAGGGTAGCTAGACCGCCTCCGTGGTCTTGTGGTAGAGCGTCCGCCCGGAGAGCGGAAGGTCCAGGGTTCGATCCCGGGCCGCGTCATACAAAAAGACATTAAAAGATTGTACTTGTTGTTACCCTGTCTGGCGCTCGGCATTAAGGGGCTAAAACAAGGACTGGTCGGCTCGGAGTCAGTATACTGTGTCTGAGTGGGGTATTCATGTTAAACTGCGGCATGGTATCTCAGTGAGCTAGCACTATAAATCAGCATCAGTCCGGACTAGTACAAGCAGCCACACACACACATACACGTGCATGCACGTCGCTATATAAGTGCAATAATCTTGGACGCGACGTTAAACCCAATTTCACCTCACCTCACCAAAGGGTAGCTTCATCACATGATCCCAAAGTGTAGCTTCATCACATAATCTCTAAGGGTAGCCTCATCACATGATCTCAAAGGGTAGCCTCATCACATGATCTCTAAGTGTAGCCTCATCACATGATCTCAAAGGGTAGCTTCATCACATGATCCCAAAGTGTAGCCTCATCACATGATCTCAAAGGGTAGCTTCATCACATGATCCCAAAGTGTAGCTTCATCACATGATCCCAAAGGGTAGCCTCATCACATGATCTCAAAGGGTAGCTTCATCACATGATCTCAAAGGGTAGCCTCATCACATGATCCTAAAGGGTAGCTTCATCACATGATCTCAAAGGGTAGCTTCATCACATGATCTCAAAGGGTAGCTTCATCACATGATCCTAAAGGGTAGCTTCATCACATGATCTCAAAGGGTAGTCGCATCACATGATCTCTAAGTGTAGCTTCATCACATGATCTCAAAGGGTAGCTTCATCACATAATCTCAAAGGGTAGCCTCATGACATGATCTCAAAGGGTAGCTTCATCACATGATCTCAAAGGGTAGCTTCATCACATGATCCTAAAGGGTAGCTTCATCACATCATCCTAAAGGGTAGCTTCATCACATGATCTCAAAGGGTAGCTTCATCAC